GATGGGAAGAACAAACGCCTAAGCTTGTGTTTCAGCCACATTTCGTGCCCTGCACGTGCCCGCTTGGCGCAAAATGCGCCTGACATTTTGTATTTTGTTATTTTTTAAAAATTAAATTTGTTTTTTTTTCTCTCTCTTCTCTCTTATTTTCTCTTTCCTAATAACACTTACAAACCGCAACGAAAATACACTACTATTGATGCTCTTACAAAAAAAAAAGAAGTCAATAGAAAAAAAAAAAAAAAAAATTTGTCGTTTCACTCCCCTGCTCATTTACCCCAAAACCCACATTTTATATTTATTACCCCAACACCCCATTGCAAAATTTACCCCAACCCCCATATAATTGGTAACCTTATTTTAAAACGAGAATGGTATTTTACACATTTTTATCTAATTCTTAAGAATTACACAAAATTGTTGACTTTTTTTTCTCGCTTATTTAGACGTTAAAGTCAAGCTCCCAACAAAATAACAAACTTAAATAATATGCGAATGATCCACCAAAATCACAATTAACAAGTAGAAAAACAACAAAACCTTATTTGGTGGGTCATTCACATATTGCATTTAACGACATTTCAACAGTTTTGTTGATAAAGGACTAAAAATGATAATGTCACAATGATATGTACTTAAAAATAAAAAATAGTTATCAAATTCTGAGAATAATTAAACCATTATAATTGTGAGAATAACGGAAACAAATTATGCGTAATAAATGAGAAAATTCATTTGAAGTTCTATGTAATTTTATAAGAAAATAATAATTTATTAATTATTATTTACACCAATCTATATCTATACTATTAATAAAAGTAAAATCTTCAATTAAAATGTCTTTCACCTGATATGAGATTGTCTTTCAAGTTCTAACGAAAACAATTCACGTTGATGCTCGCATATGTCATGACTATCAACAAACGTCAGGGTCAAACACTAACTCATGTTGAGTTATTACTGAAAAAACAGTATTTAATCACGGTTAATTGTATGTGACTTTTTCCCGAGTCACTCATCCTGATGGTCTAATGGTTTTAACTCTAGACGATGATGGATAAAATTTCGTTACTATTACCAATGTCGTCTCCAAAGAGATTTTCAATAATGTATAATCCAAATCATTGATATTATGTTTTTTTTTTTTAATATACAAAGATGACAAAATTGCTATATATCTACATAGAAAATATATCTTCCGTATAAATAATTTATATAACTGAGTTGCTAGACAACGAGCTAATTAGCCTAATTAATACAAATTCTAAATACTGATATATAAAATCTCTAAAGTTGCAATGCGTATATCTACTATTAATTGTACAATTATTTACTCGAATTTAAGTATTGATAATACCAAAAGACATAATCGGTGCAACTCAATTCTTCAATTATATTATATAAAAATATTCGATGTTATAAATTTTATAATTGTATATGAATCTAAATATTTTTAAAATATTATTACAAATTCATTCCGCTTCCGTGCAACTCAGGTGCGCAAGTACTAGTAATTTATAAAAAGAAGGGAAAATGACACTTTTTACCCCTGAGTTATATACTTATATCACTTTTTCCCCCTCAATTATTTAGGTAAGCACATTAGTCCCCTCAATTATTCTAAAAGTGGTGCTTTTTCCCTCCTGATATATTAAATTGACATTTATACCCTTAAAGTAAACATTTTATTTATTTTACTACTCCAACAAATTATTGCGTATACGTAGGGATGACCACGGTTCGATTTGAATTGAACCGGATACTAAAGCAATCGAATTAATAGTTTACGGTTATAATTCAGATCTAGAACCCAATATTTAAATGTCAATTTATTAAAATTATGTATCAAAAAATTGAATCTGGAACCGTGAACCGGCGGTTCCGGATCTGATTCGCGGTTTTGAACCGTTTTTATTTTAAAATTTTATTTTTTATTTTAAAATAGTCTAAATTCAACAATAAATGTATTTTATTTTTTTTCGGAACATGAACCGTCCGTTCCGGTTCACGATTTTAATAAACTCTAAATATTGAATTTCGATTCTAAATTGTAATTGGAATATTTCGGTTTGGTTGCTATAGTGTTTGTTTAGTTTGAACCAAATTATGGTCATAATTTGTTGGAGAAAAAAATAAATTAAATATTTAGTTTAAGGGTAAATATGTCCATTTAACATTTCAGGGGGAAAAACAGCCACTTCAATAACTTAGGGGGAAAAAATACTATAGGTATATAACTCAGGGGGAAAAAGTGCCATTTTCCCTAAAAAGAATTATAAATACATACATTATACATACATGATGAACTGATCAAGGCGAGAGAAACGTGAAGCAAGAAGAAGCAAAGAGGAACACTGTGAATTTCCCAATGTCGATGACGGCTTCTGTTCAAATCTGGCGGAGATTCTCTCCCCTAGTCGCCCGCCCGGCTATTTACTCTGCCAATTCTTCATTCCTCTCATCACCCTCCTTTGCCTCTTCTTCTCTTTCAATTAAGCCTATTCGCCTCCGCTGCCACTCTGTCCGAGCCGCCGCCACCATGGGGGACACCATCACCGATGCCAAGATGGACGCTGTCCAGCGCCGCCTTATGTTTGACGACGAGTACCTACTCTTATTGTCCCTTTTCTTCTGTTTAATTATTGCTCCGAAGGGTTTTTGTTCTAATTTCTGTAAACCTCGTGCATCGCTGTGTTGTTGGATTGGAGTTGAATGGGCTGAGGGTTTTCATTTTCATTTTCATCTTCATCTTCATCTTCCCTGAATATTAAATTATTAATTAAGTAATTCCAAACAGTAGCTTTTAGGGATATAAATCGCAGAAACCTAGCACCTTCTCGCATATTCTCAATTTTGCGACTGATTCCTGTGTGTTGCAACTCCAAAGATTTTGGCTTTATAGGCCATGCATGGTACTTTAACTTTGCCGGGGCTCGATTTTGTGTCCTTACCAATAATTTACCACTGATTTTGGCTTTCTGAAGTTTGCTTGTTATGAATTGTTTTTTCAAGTCAATATTCAAAGACAGCAGAAGCTTGTTTTCTAGTTTTGATGATCATTTCCACCTATCCTTGTGAAGTTAAAAATGAGTTATTTCTTGGGTGCAGGTGTATTTTGGTGGATGAGAATGACCGTGTTGTTGGTCATGATACCAAGTATAATTGTAAGTCAAATCTATGCCTATAAGAGTTAATTTTCTTTACCATTCAAGTGCTTCTGATAAAATTTCTTTCCTTAATCGTCAAGCATGGAATTCTTGATTTTAGTTACTCCCTATTATTTTCATCATCATTAAAGGGGTGTAATGAGGGCATTTTGTTCAGTTTTGAGTGTTGCTCTTTAGGAATCAGATGACTATTGTCAGCTTCTATTGCTTTCTTCTCTAGTGTTTGATAACCCCCTGATTCTTCTTTATGGTTCCACCAAGTTCCTATTTGTGGCATTTTAGTTCAAGCCTCATATGTCTGACCAGTGAAATTATATGATCAATATGCAGGTCATCTTATGGAGAAGATTGAATCTGAGAATCTGCTTCATAGAGCTTTCAGTGTTTTCTTATTTAATTCAAACTATGAGTTGCTTCTTCAGGTATGTATAGGAAACAATATCAATGATCATTTCAGCACCATTCAGGCCCTGATTGGATGAACACCTTAAATATGTGCTTTAAGATAATTCACTTATCAATAATTACTTTCCAATAGGCTCAAACCTGCTTATATGGAACTTTCATTTCAACTGCTCTTTGAAAACCTGTTTTCAGCTTGTTCTGATAATTGATAAACCAACTTGAATAGTTTATGGAAATATGCCTAAAGAACTTTTCAAAAGATGCAAAACCCTTATTCTTTTTTATCATCTGGTGAAATTTATCTTTCCTTTTCACAAATTTGCATTGATTATATTGTATAATTCCCTCGTTCTTGATATGCACAGCAACGATCTGCGACAAAGGTCACCTTCCCTTTGGTGTGGACTAACACCTGCTGCAGCCATCCTCTGTACCGGGACTCTGAGTTGATTGAAGAGAATGCTCTTGGTATATACTTCTCTTAGTACATCCATGGAATTACCATTTTCGTTCAGCTCATTGTAGTCTGCTTCATATTATAGGTGTGAGGAATGCTGCACAAAGAAAGCTTCTTGATGAACTGGGGATTCCTGCAGAGGATGTCCCAGTTGATGAATTCACAACATTGGGCCGTATCCTTTATAAAGCACCTTCTGATGGGAGATGGGGAGAGCATGAACGTAAGTAATGGTTTTTTTTTTTTTTTTTTTTTTTTGTGACTAGAGAAACCAGCAGTCTGGATAAACCTTATCTTGTGACCGTAGCCAACAAAGGACTACAAGGAGATAAATCATCCTAAGTTGTCCATAGATAACCAACTCAAATCAAGAAGGCCAATAGATCACTGAAAATCAAACTTAAAACCTTGTTGTTACCCGGTCAACAACCCAACATACTTGGCTGGGTTGCCCCACCTTTCTCTTTATCTATGTGAAAATGATCTTTTCAGTTATCTATGCACAAGTGATATGGCTCTTTTCCTGTCTTGCATTGTACACTTTTCATGTTTCATTTACATTAAAACACAAACAAAGCATAGATGCATACCCTGTACTTATGCATGGTTGTAATCATTGGCAGTTGATTATCTTCTCTTCATTGTGAGGGATGTTGGCATGCGCCCGAACCCGGATGAGGTTGCAGATGTTAAATATGTGAATAGGGAACAGCTGAAAGAGATCTTGAGGAAAGCAAATGCTGGAGAGGATGGTATAAAGCTTTCCCCTTGGTTCAGATTAGTCGTCGAAAATTTCTTGTTCAAATGGTGGGATCATGTCGAGAAAGGCACCCTAATGGAAGCTGCAGATATGAAAACCATTCACAAGTTGGCCTAAACAGCCATTGGCTGAGCTTTTGCTAAACCCTTAGATCTACCATTCACTTCACTGAGCAAAAATATATTCTATGGTCTTCTGCTTTGTTTCATGCTTGAAAGTTTCTAGTTTTATGCCATTTTTGGCTGTCAGGAACTTGTAATATATGTGAACTTGCTATCTTTCTTGTGCTATTTTTGGCTGTCAGGAACTTGTAATATATGTGAACTTGCTATCTTTCTTGTGTTATGTAATTCGAGAAATTGCAACCGACTGATATATATGACTACAGTTATGTTAAGCTGGTGCAGTGTAACTGCAGATAATCACTGTTCTTCCATGGAAACTTCAGCTTATTATTGTTACAGAGGAAGAGATAACAAGAGACACTGAAACTGCAAGATACAAGTGATATATGTAAAGATGAAATATACCCAGGGCTGGCTGTTATTCCTCGCCTCCGCTTCTGAAGCAGACAGATTCCGAGTCCTCGGTGTCTTCCTGAAGTGGAGCCGTGTCGTCTCTGGTTATTGTATAGCTCGAAGCAGAAGAATCGACTGTCTCAGCCGGCTCTGCCATAACCTTCTGCCGAAGCATTGCCTTCCTTCTGCTGCTCAGCCTGCGCCTTTTCAACGACTCGGGGACATTTCTTTCCTCCCCAACCCTGTCTTCCGAGGGTTCCAACATTAACCGTTCTTCATCGTACCCCCTAACAGTTGTTGTCAGGACAGGGACCATAAGTGATCTGAAGCAACATAGAGAAACCACGAGGAGCGCCATGTAAATGTACATTGACACCCACACGTAGAACGTCCATTTCCATCTGTACAACAGCTCTTTCATCCAAGGGAGATGAGACTTGAGAACAATCTCGGCCTCGTACACCGCTGGCAGCGCCAGCGTGCTAGCCCGTGGCATCAAGATCACGCGGATTGCCTCTGTTCTTGGATACCCTTCCTTGTGGCTTATCGTTGGAATGACTATCCTCTGAGTTTCAGAGGCTATTCCTAGTAGCAGGGGTACGCCCCAGATGAGTTCTCGCATAAGTCGGATTGGCTGGCTTCTAAACTGTAACATACATGGATGGCTTGATCTTCTCACTATGCCTCCATTGTTTGATATCAGCTCTGCAGCCACCTAATGAAAAGCAATCAACCAAATCATAAAAATTTATTAGCTTTAATCAACTATCAACAACAACTAATTTACCAAACTTGTTTATACAATCAACTAAATCAACTAACGGCTAACAACTATTTAGCTAAGTTCGTTTTGTTGAGCATATAACCATTAATGTGCAATACACGAATAATCAACCAGCAATGTGCAACCCAACTATCAGGCTTTTAGTGCAATCCAACTATCAGCTTAAACTTTTAGTTGTGAAGCACATGCTTCAATTCGGTCATCTCATCATTGAATAAAGTAGTGAATGTTCACAAAAGAATATATATATATATATATAAATTGATTGATTACCTGGAAGATCCCAAGTTCTCTGTTATAATCGGATTCCGGCATTACAAGAAGCAAAGAAACATAGAATGTATGGCCAACAGGAACACCCATTTTCTTACTCTTAGCAACAAATTTAGTGTTATGCGTTTTGAATTCACCGCCGCTTCCGTGAACAAAAGAGAAGATGGCCTTAGGGTGAGCATCTGTGTAGTCAAAATTCAACCTCTCCCTCAACAACACCGGCTCCTCCACCCACATCCTCACCACCGCCACGCCCAAAACCGCCGCCACAACCAACAGAATCGTTAGAATCATCCCAACATACGCCGCCGCTAGTATGCCAACCCCGATTTTCCTCAGCAAACCGCCGCCGCCGCCGCCAACCTCCGACGACGTCGTATCGTTTGCTGCTGCGACCATGCCCGGCTCCACCGCCCTATCCCGCTCGGAACCCGAGAGAAGCGGCGATGAGAGCGCGGATAAGCAGGCGGAGACTGTCTCCGCTTGCACAGATACGAGGTTCGAGAACCACTCCGATAAGTAGTTCCTCGCTTCTTTCGCGTCGGCGAGTTCAGCTTCCCTGTCGGCTATCGGCGCCGGCCGCCGTAGATTTGAAACGGGTCTTCGTGTGTCCGCCATAGCTATCAGCTTGATTCCTTTGCTTCTTACACTGACAACACTTATAATGGCGGGGGAGAAACTCGGACCGGAGCATGCAAGACGAGGAGTTGACACGTAGCCAGGAACACATGTTTCAACGTCAAGTCCTTTTTAATTAAAAATAATTCTTTTACCAATTATCACCAATCCTACGTATATATTTTATTTCGATCTATTAATTATTATTACATTAAAAGCTAGAATTTAGAATAGAATGAATACACATGTTTATGAGTTTATTTGAGATAAATCACTTAAATAAATAATAATTTCGAGTGGAGATTAATAATTACTGATCGATTTATTTATATTTATTATAAGTAAGGGGATACCCTCATATACAATATAGGGAGCAACTTGGTACTAGAGAACTACAAGGTTGAATTTCCGACATTAAGGGCTCTCCTCACTTTGAGAGGTTGGGTCATTGTTTCAAATTTTACTCGTGTGACTAACTGAGCTCTTTATGCGAATTTAATAGTCTATTTATTCTTTTCAAAAGGTTAAATTCCTAACCCCAATGGCCTTCCACACTCCAGTTCGACATGTCCCCTCACTTTAAGAGTTGCAGTTAGACTCGATCTCTGGTCATTCTTTCCAAACTTTATCGATCAAATAAGCAGACTATATAGAACAATAATATTATAGCATATATACCTCCTAGCTACTTGTTACTTTATATTTTTAAATATTGTGAACAGTTATTAATCACTGGAAAGTGTTGATGTTTATTTTTATTTTTATAATTATTTAAAAATATGTACGTCATTAACAAGTGAAAAACTTGGCATATATACGTGATTTTCCTTGGAGAAAATTAGTCAATTCACCGTGCATTATATATAACTTGACATTGTTTAGATTTGATTTAATATAGATAGATCAAACAAGTATGATTCGACTTGATTATATAAAAGGAATTTTAAATTAGTGGGAAAATGAAAAGTTTTGGTGTAAAAATTAAGAATCATTTGATGATTGTCACATGTTTTTTTACCCTAAAAGGCTGAATCCACAACCCTAAGGGCTCTTTGCACTCCGACTCGACAGATTGTCACGTGCTTTCTAATTCTATATATCTTGGTGATTAAAAAGTTAAAGTGACATCACTTCAAAAATGTACACAATTGTCATTTTCGATCAAGGTTAAGGCCCATAACCAAATAAAGAAGATCAATCATATATTAATTAGTTCGAGAGAATTTCGACGACTTTCTACTACTTCCTATTGTTGAAGATTCTCGCACCATAAGAAGTGGGGTATTCGTGATGAGATTATGACTAAATCAGAATATTTTGTGGACTTTTTAATTTATCAAGAAATTGATCATTGAAACCTGGCTTTGTTGATACCAGACATCACATGAATAAATAAATAAATAAATATATATATATATATATATATATATATATAGGTGATAATAATTAAATACTAAATTCATCATAACTAGTGATGGATGTAATATATATGAAGTAAATATATTAATTATTTAGGGCCAAAGATGTTAGGTTTAATCTTAATATTTAAAGATAATAATATTTTGGAAAGAAGAAATGAAAGGAAAAGAAGTTGAAGAAATAATGAAAATAAAATAAAATTGGTAATGAAAGGTGGAAAGAAAAGTGGAAAAAAGAAATGGAAAAAAGGAAGAAAAGGGAAGTAAAAAGTAGTTGTTTATGAGAAGTAGTTAAGAAAGAGAGTGTAGAGAGAGAGAGAGTACAGGTGCCATCCACGCCGCACGTGACAGTAGATGTAGTTGTAGTTGTACTGGCAATATACTTTCTCTCTAACTTCCACTCATACTTTGACGCCCAGCCATGGCCTCTCCCCTCTTTTTGCTACTTTCTCTACGTACAAAATCCATGCAGTCTTTCCCATGCACGCACAATAACCTCTCGTTTGATTCCCATCTTCGAAGAAATTAACGTTGGAGCACCAAATGCGGACGCCGTGGATTATTATTATTGATTTTAATTTCTACTTGATGATCCTCCACGGATTCCCCTGTTTCTGTCTGGCCGGGGATTGATTTTCGTTGTTCTTGAGGTTGTACGTTGTTTAACGGATGAAATAACGCCGTTTGGTTTGGTTTGGTTTGGTTCCGATTCCATTCCTTCGCTTCATGTCTGATTGTTTCATCGTACGTGTCTGCTGCGCCATATCTGAAAACGGAGGACCAGAGCACAAGCACGCAGTATCATTCAAATCAGAAACCCTAGCTAATTAATTCTCTTAATGATTAGGGTTTTCGAGGTTTTGTTTGGTACTGTTGTTGTGTTACGTTATCCACAATTTATCACTCAGAAATCAATTGAATTGAGCTGCTCGGGCGATGCAAGTATCAGACAGAGAGCCGCCGTTCAATGGCAATGAAGATAATAATAATGACGACGAGCGCCGCGGTGATGATGATACCGTGAAGGTTGCTCGAGAAAAAATTGACTGTGAAACTAATAATAATAATAGTAATAGTAATAATAATAATGGTGCAGCGGGGGATTCCAAGCCCCTTGATAAGGCGGTGGCGGACCGCCCTCGGCGGCCGAGCATTGCCGAGAGGAGAGCTGCCAAATGCGGTTTCAAAGCTTCCAGCATCCGGTGCATGGCCTCCGACTCTTCCTCCACCGCCGCGGTGGCGGCTCCCTCTCCCTCGTCTCTCCGGTCATCTTACTTCACTATTTCTCCCGGCATTAGCCCCACGGCTTTGCTAGACTCGCCGGTCATGCTCCCCAACTCTCTTGTATGTAATTATTTTTTTATGCTCGTAAAATGTGATGACTGATATGATCTGACGAATTGACACTTACATATATATGGAGAGAGAGAGACATGCATATATATATAATTGGTTAATAAAATGTATGTTTGTTATGTTGTGCTTTAACACTAGGGACAACAATCTCCTACGACAGGAACAATGCAATTTCCGGCGGCGGAGGATGAAAATTTTGGGTTTAACTTAGCCGGCGTCATAGATCATAATAGTCCAGATGAGATGAAGTCCAGCATAGGTGAATCCTCGGATCCATTTCCTTCAACCTCCGCAAATGAAACGCCGCAGGTTTCATATTCTTCTCAAATGCAGATCACTCCCTCAATACCTTTCGATTTTCCGATGGAATCCTTGGATTGCGGAGTGGAGGTATCGGGTGTCGACACTAACCCTAATTCCAATTCCAATTCGAATCTTATGTTACAGTCGCCGGTTAGTAATTACCGGGAACCGCCATTATCTCCGCTGGGAGAATGCATCAATAATAATGTTAATGGAGAAAGCTGCAGCTCGTATAATAACCAGGAACAGGAGTTGGATCACCGGAGAGGGGCCGCCGCGGCGCCGGCGGCGAAATCGGTAGCTAATAATAATGCGTCTGCCGCCGCCGGTGGCGGCGCCAGTTCGTCGGACGACGGGTACACGTGGAGGAAATACGGGCAGAAGCACGTGAAAGGGAGCGAGTATCCGAGAAGCTATTACAAGTGCACTCATCCCAAATGCACCATGAAGAAAAAGGTAGAGCGTTCGCCGGACGGGCAGATCACGGAGATCGTGTATAAGGGCGCGCATAATCACCCGAAGCAGGCCACGAGTCTCCGGCGATCGCCGCCGTCGTTAGGAGCGGAAAGCTGTTCGTCGGAGATGATGGGCCAAGGCGGCGGATCTTGTTTCAGAGCTCAGGCTCCGATTTGGGCAAACATTCAGCATTATGGCAGCATGCCGGAAAGACCAACATTGGCGTCGAGCAGTGATCTGACGGCGGAGATTTGCGATCCGCTATCTTCGCTGACGACGAGATCGGCGGCCGCCATGAGTGGATTTGAATCCGCAGCAACCCCTGAACCTTCATCTACACTTGCTAGTCAAGATTGCGATGATAATGAAGATGCAGTCACCCAGGGGATCTCCAATTCCCAGTTTGGTGACGATGGAGAATCCGAGCCCAAACGAAGGTATATACATACATACATATTTTTTTTCAATTGAAATCAAATACTGAAATACTTCAACAATTTTCAATACCGATCAATACCTTAAAATTTTCGAGAAATTTTTGGTATTTATGACTATTGTACACATGTACGAGTGTATTCATAAAATTCATCAGGAGAAAAGATGGGTGGTCAACTGAGGCAAGTTTATCAACAAGATCAATCCGGGAACCCAGAGTAGTGCTCCAGATTGAGAGTGAAATTGATATTCTTGACGACGGATATCGCTGGAGAAAATACGGCCAAAAAGTTGTCAAAGGAAATCCAAATCCAAGGTATATATATATATATATATATATATATATATATATATATATATATATATATATATATATATGCTCAATCTCAATTCTAAATTCTCAATTCTCAACTCTTTTCCGGTATATATATAATGGTAGGAGCTATTACAAGTGCACAAGTCCCGGATGTCCGGTGAGGAAGCACGTGGAGAGAGCTTCCGACGATCTGAAATCCGTAATCACCACATACGAGGGGAAGCACAACCACGACGTGCCACCAAACAAGGCGGCCGTAGTGAACTACAACAGCTACAGCGCCGCCCCGGGCACCACGGCCAGCTCAGCCATGGCGAGAGCTCCGGCTCTCGGGGGCGTGGGGGTGCAAGATAATCATCCATCCTTCCCGTTTGAACGGAAACCCATGATTGCAGGTGGCGGTGGGGACGAGCTACTAAGGCCGGAAATGCTGAACTGCTATGCCGGCGACTTCAGGTTCGTGCCATCCTCCATTTACCCGCTCAAATTCCCTCCTCCGCCGTTGCAGGGCCGGAGCAGCCCGCTGACAGCGGCCGCAGCCGCCGCCACCTACAACTACAGCCGGCCTCCGGGCCTGGTGCTGCCGGAATTCCCCATGCCATTACTCCCAATGAGCCTGCCTCCATTCCATGAACTCACCAATTTACCTCCTCTTGCCGATTTTCTGCACTTCAATGACCCTAGCACAAAAGAAGAGCACAAGGAGAATGATCCCCACACATCATTACTATACGAATGAATGAAAAATATGCAGTCCATCATCTTCCATCTTCATCCAATTTTTTGCCTGAATCTTGAAAGAAAGCTCACTTTTGTCTAGACTAGACATTAGAGTAGGAAAGAAAGAAAGTATCATCCATGTATGAGATCAGAGCATCTTTGTCTTCTGGTCGGAACAAGATTTTTCAGACAAGATGAACGTGTGTGAATGGGCATATAACCATAGTCAGATTCTGAAACAACAATGAAATGTAGTACATGTTTTTGGAACAGGACAGCATCAAAATTGCCTTAATTATTCAAGAAATGTTTCACCATCATTTGTCTTCCAAATCAACATGTCAGCACCACAGTTTCCAAATTGAAACCCTGTACACAGCAAACCTAAAGCCCAACAAACAGGAAACAACATTTGGGCCCGCACAAATCGGTTGGTTCCTGAGTGGCATATTGTGGGCAAGGACACAAGATCGAGCCCTGACAGCCGCAGTGGGAGTTCCGGGCACCAGGCACTGGTCCTCCGGACTGTTGCATCACCATAATTTACCCCTCTACAATCTTGTCGGACCAGGGGTGTGGAGGCCCTGGGGGGCAAGGGAATTTCACTTTTTGTGGGCAAGAAAATAACATTTGGGGCGTGGGAAAACATAAGCTACAAACAGTGCTGCACTTTTCACCGGAAATACAAAGCATAGAATGTCAAACTGTACAACAAGAAGTGCAAATTCCTAGACTCAGATGATCCAAACACACTGGAAGAGACAAGGAAACCGAGGGCAAGCAAATGCAAAATTTTACAGTTAGATGCTGAACAGAGCAGGGAAACAATAGTATGGTTATGAGACACTGGAACCGACAAAACCAGCCTGTTGATATGTAGAGAATTGCAGGAACCCAAAAACAGGAAAACTTGAAATGAGTAATGTACAATAAACCAAATCATGGATTCTGAATGATATGAAGATCCTTGACTAAACCCTCACAAATGGACAACAAACAATTACTAAGACAATAAATACTCTGTAAATTATATTTAAACATAACCCGGTATAAAAGAAAGGATTACACTAAATGAAACTCAGAGATTAAGCAATTCATAGGCACAAATGCAAAAGAGGAGGCACAGATAACTAGCCCTGGCACGAAAGCTGTGATCTTGCATATGTTGAAGACATGCTTCACCAATTATGACAAAATTGAGTGCAGAGACATCAGTATGTTCTCTGTTGCAGCAGTAACTCAAATACCATGAATGATGAACATGTTTCAGGTAAAATGCAGAAATAAATCTGAGTTAAGGACTCTAGGGAAGTGGCGGTGATAATTTAAAGAATACACTAACAGCACCATTAGTTACTCCCCAGATATCCAAACTAATACTGGTTTGGTCCTTTATTGCTAGTAATGAAAAAAATTTATGCTATAATGGAGTAAGAATCTCACTTTTAGAACCAAAAAATCTCATTAGTGAGAATTTGTAGAAATGTGTAAAAGTAATATCTATGTTTAAAGTCTTATGGAGCAAGAATCTTTGTGAACAGACAAGAATTTCTCAAGGTAATTATATATATATATATATCCACGGTAGGTAGGACATAGCATATAAAGTGATAGTGTCCACATGGACAACTGCACAATGCAGGTGACAGAGGTTATCCATAAGCATAGAATTTAGGACCCTAGATGCAATATCTAAGGCAAACAGATCCCAAACAGATCCAATAGAGATAAGTACCAACACACGATTAAATTCAATCGGAAAACTCGTCTGACAAGAATGGAAGTGAATGAGTCTTTATTGCAAACATAAAGACATAAAGTCCATTAACCCAGAATGGAAAATAAAAGGCAGAAGGTAGGTAAGTAAGACACTTAGAAGGCATTATTATCAAGTCTGATAACAGAAAGCCCATTGAAAAAAAAAAAATCCAATTGGAACAAAGCCATAACAAAAATAATGATTAGTAATGAAGATAAAAATTGCAACCTGCAATTACACTATACATTACACAAGTGAACATTCATTGCTGCAAAATTACATTCAAAGCAGTAGCAGATGGATCACTAATCTCTCTGTCCTATCAACAACTAATACCATAACAAGAAATAAAATTATGCCACCACAAAATCATTCATCAACCCACTGACCAAAAACAGAGTCTTGATAGAATAATAATAATAATATATATAGATTGAGAAACTGGATGAAAAAGCAAAATTTATGCAAGGAATAAACCTAACTGCAGACTCTAATTCTATTATCTATTAGTACTGAATTTTCTCTTATAACTTTTCTTATGAAAGAAAGAGAGCTGAAGCCAATTGAGAGGTTCAATAAAAGAAGTTGTTGCAGACTTGCAGCATTAGCACTTAGCAATTTAGCAGTTTTGTTATACAGGTAGTTTTTTTTTTTTTGGAAGGTAGGTGAAAAGACAGCCCATTTTGATTGACACTAAAAGCAAAGACCTTTGTAAAAGTATATCACCATAACTTTAGTAAATATAAGAGCATACTCAGAGTTACAGACTGCAACTTTGCAAGTAATATAATTAAGCAGACGACTAAGATGGTAGAAACACACTTGATATTCATAACAATCACAAAAACAACAGCAGTAGTGATTATTCCAGAACAAGTAACTACCACCAACAGATCATCATCATCATTACAAGACCAACGCAGACAATCAGTAAATCAGGATCAAGATTATTCATAATCATGACCTTGAGGACACGGATACGGATATAATTAGCAACAGCAATAGCGAAAACAATCGGACGGCGACGAAGGAGGCTGAGGCTTCGGATTCACTTTTTGAGACTGCCGCGGATCCCCGGTTTGGGCTTGTTAGACTCGCCGCCGGAGGAGGGGGTGGCCGTGGCGTGGAGGTTGTTGAGCTTCGTCTCATCGAACGGGATCTTCGGATGGCGGGCGTCGTGGTGGATCTGCATAGATTTGATGTCCGGCGCGGTGACTTTGCAGAGCGGACACTCCAGCTTCGCATGCCCGCCCTTATCTTGACCCGACCGGTCCGCCAGCCCGGCTTTTCCTCCGCCCCGGTTGGTGGTCGCCGCGTCCACCTTCGCCGCTATCTCCTTCGCCGTGTGCTTCTTCGGCTTCGCCTTTCCCGTCATGGCTACCGCTCGCTCTTCTCCTCTGTACGTGTCCGGACCCGTGTAGTGCGAACTATTTTAGGGTTTGATAATTTGGGTGATAGATGCTCAATACAGGGCTCGTCATCACAATATATATATACACCAAATAACTCTCCCTATTTAATCAGGTTTATAATACCCTAATTTTTTTTATACATGTCCCCTCCGTCAACCATCACCGTTGGATTATAGATTATTTTTTTTAAGATCACCGTTGGATTATAGATTATTGATTACACAATCTCGCAAAAAACTCACGGTAAGTTCATCATATTTTCTATAAATCATTTTCTTTAACTCCTTAAATTTACTTTCTAATATTCACCTGACATTAATATAAATTACTTTATTACTATATCAAAATAGAAATAAATTTGTTTTTACTATATTCACCTCGTGACATTAATATAAAATATTATATTTTTATTTTATAATATTTTTTTTGTTTAAAAAAATAGAAATAAATTTATAAAATTAAAATATAATATTTGGACCAAGAAAGCCCAATAAAGATTCCTAGTACAAAGTAACTTATAAGTTTAATAGGATTGAACTTACTATTCATTCATAATGTAATTAGGATTGAGCTTACTATTCATAATGTAATAAGGATTGAGCTTACTATTCACAAAGTAATATAAGGTTTGAACTTCCTATTTTTAATGTAACAAGGACTCTCAATATTAGACAAATTTTATTTCTTTTAGGGCTCTTTCACAAGAAGAAGAACCAGTAATTCTCAATAATACAAAATATTTATTCTCTCTATATTTCTCATATACTTGTTATAACAAGACCACCCACATGTCATGCCAAAATACCCCCCGCCAGCACTAAGGCTAACCCCATTAGTGACTTTTGGTTGGTTTTGTAAGAGTTTGTGGTTGAGGTGGAAGAGAAATGTGACAGGAGGGAGAGAGAGAAAATTGAATTACTGCAAATATAGTTTTTTCGTGGCCTCATTGCAGACAAAAATTAATGGCTATTCTCATTTCTGGTGCATTAATTGCACCTTTCGCACGCGAGTGTGCTACACGCGCTAGCTAGGTGCGTAACTGAACAATTTTTTTAAAAATTTTTCTTATTTTATTCTTTTTTTTTCCTCCTTCCGTCTCTCCTACATGGCTCCTAAAATTTTGTGGAAAAAAAAAACAATACTATTAAGTTTGCTGACTTCGCTATAGAAAAGTGCCCCGTCATCTTCCCTCATTTTGTTCTCCCTAGAACCATGTTTTCCATTATTTGCCAAAGTGAATTTATATTTTTGTAGGTAAGATATTTAATTTGATATCTTATACACGCAAAATTGATTCTTAAAGTGTACACATTGAATTGAAAAAAAATAGAGCTTTGAAATGCTTTCAAGTAAACATTTATCCCACATAAAAAAAGTACGTGAATTTTTACTAGTATAATACAATTCAAATTTTAAAAGATTTTGAAATGTATAGTATTAGAGGTTCTCTCTCGTGTACGTCAAACCTAGAAGATCGATGGTTGACTAAGATATGAGGATGATTAATTCTTGTCATTTTCACGAGTTATAATATTTAACTCCAATTTTTAAACTAATGATTTAATTTGTAACCGTTGCAACATCATAAGGTATTTCATAATAAAGTGGGGCTTACACCATTAGTACTAATTACTCCCCGACCAATATATACTTTGTTCTCTAGACACCAAAAAGCTCTCTAAAATGTTGCAATCACTTTCAATAAAACTCTCAAGTGTTCTACATTTATTCTAGTTTGCAAAATAATATATTTGAACGCTTAAATATACTATGTTAATTTATTGTATTATGAAAAAATGACGCTTCAACGCTCATAGCACCATCAATAAGAAATAAATCAATTTTAAGGTGTGTATTACACACGCCTTGGATTAACCGAGAAAGTAGTAAACTAATTTTGAGGAATTTTTAATTTCAAATTTTTATTGAAAAAATTCATACAATTATTGTTGAAACTTTGTGTGTGTGTGTGTTTTATGATGATTATATGTAAAATTTAGTAATATAATGTATAGGGCTCACTCATCCTGTGATTGCGGTAAGTCAATTACGCTTAACCATAGAGTTTTTTGGCTATCTAATTGCTATATCCTACTTAAAATGTGTTGATGATAAATATGTGGACATTAACCATTTAACCACATCCCTTCATGGTAAGCCACAACGCAACGTCTCGAATCGAGCAGGGGCTGGACTCGGCCAACCCGGCCGACGCCCAACACATTTCATTATGTAACAAATATATTAAATTATATTATATTATTCTAAAAAAAATTGACCTTCCTAAATTGGTTATTAGTTAGTTGCTATTAATGTTTGAATCTAAATTTATATGTGTACATTTTTGTGTTTTTTTTTTTTTTTTGGAATTATAATTTGAAATATTTAGTTGTATAAAGTGTCTATTTTGATATATTATGTTCGCAAAAATGACGTTGAGATGTAATCTTTAAAATGATGTGTATATAAACTTATAGACACTGCAACAACTCAACAAGGTCAAGTTAATTTATATTTTATAATTAGGCTACAAACTATAAAAGTTTAATATTAAATTAATTTTTTTTATATGTTTGCTATTGTTAGGCATAAGTTAATGTATTAAATGTTTAGATATAATTATTACAAGAAATAAAGATTTGTGCGTTTTTCTCATCGAAAAAGCCTTTATAATATGTTTAAAAAACTTTATAATGTATTCATGTTGTCATATTATATAATTAGTATTTTAATGTTGCAATATTTTTATTTTGGTAATATTTTATTGTCTGAGATTTTTTTTAAAAAATAAAAAATTGTACCCTTCAAAAATTTGGTGTACAATTGTATACATTTAGTATATGACAATTAAAAAATTAATTTTAATTTCAAGTTTAAAAAACAAAAGTAAATTATCAAGAATAATATTGAAATGATAGCATTTTATTTTTCTTTTAGTCAATGTGTTATAAAATGAGCTATAAGTTATCGAGACAATACTTGTTATTACAATTTAATTATGACAATCTTTCTAAATTCTAGGAAGTTGTTTTAAGCATCCTCAATAGAATGAGTTCTTTTATTGATTTTTTCAGATACATATATGAGAGAGAAAAAAATAATGAAGAGAAAGAAAAAACAAAACAAAACAAAACAAAACAAAAAGAAAAAGAAAAAGGGACCAGAAAAACATTCCATCACGCGCCCAGCCATTTGTCCTTCGCACGCGACTTTGCCCAATCTGCTTTGTTTTCTTCTACCATTCGGTGAACCCCACAAAAGTATTGATTTTGCAAGAGAAAACTCCACACAAAAAACTTCATCTCCCATTTGTGAGCAAACAACATAGATGGATTTTTCTACCTAAAAAATTGTAAAAAAAAAACCATAGATTTAGATACTCTATTAAAACTGGTTATACACAACACAAAAATACAAAAATTATGACTCTTTAAATTAGCTTTTACAACGTTTCTTGAGTAACTTCATCCGAAAGAATAGCATTAAACGATTGGGCAGGGAATTGTCACTCCTTTTCTCCTTGGTGGGTTGATTTCTTGATGATATTTCTTTTCCCTTAAAAGAAAAAAAAAAAAAAAAACTGTGCATTAAAATGGTGCTTAAAACTGTAAAAATAATAACTAAAAATAAAAATTAAGAGTTGAGATTTCAAATATATATATTTGAAAGTACAAAAATCCACAAATTTTATCTGATTTGTAAAAGAAAGGAAACATGCCATTGCCAACTCCTATAACTGGTTTAGTAATTTAGTATAATAACCTAAGTTCAGGTACAAGGACAACAAAATTGTATAGAAGTATAGATAAACTGAAAATATAAGAGTTACTAGGAAACAAAACTTGAAGGTAAATTTTGACCAAAACTGAGAGTTGGTAAAAATTTAACAAAAAAGTTGGTGTAAATTTGTAAAATAGAAAAAGATTTGGCTAATAATGCAACTTCAATTATTAAGCCAAAAAGACTAAGATAGGTCAGGATAGGAGCTAAACTGAAGTGATCCTGGGCTTCTGTACACTCTCTTCTCCTCCATACAGTAAGCGCCTCTTCCTTGAGCCATAGTAGCGGTAGATGATGCTCTGAAGGGAATACCGGATGCAAGAAGCATCATATTCATCGAGAAACCTAATGTCAGATTCTCTCCACTTCACGCCAGCAAAATGTTTGTACTCTTCCAACACAGACGACAGACGCCAATTCTGCAGTTTCCTCAGGCACCCCACGAGACAACCAGTTCGGTGCTGCAGCAGTAAACAAGGCATATTGAGTTAGGAACCACCAGACTAAGCATCACAGAAGCACAAAATGGCCTCTAACTTCAAAGAAAGACACTAGTTATGACTGAAAATTAAAAAGGGATTGAACCCCAAACCCGAGGGCACCTCGGTGGAGGAGGTAAATAGCAAAATGTGTCTCAACAAACTACAGGTTCCCCAAATTGCTTGTACACCAAATAGTAGAATATAGAACTCATGGATAAGTAAATGTAGACACAATATTTTTTAGTATTCTAAGATACAGAGTGGCCAGGAAAACATATACTGAGATTGACCATATTGTCAGACAAACTAGGAAGGGTTAACTAGTATGTTACCTTTCCACGCTTGCAATGGATCAGCACTGGATGATTTCTCACATCTACAAACAGAATAGAAGGAAGAATCAATACACATTAAGTAATTTCCGACCAAAAAAGGACAGTTATAGAGTTACAAAGATTAGATCACAAGAGTAAGAGTTATACCAATTAAGACTTTGAGAGCCTCTGTTATGGCACTCCTGGGGATAGCAGATGGCTCCTACAAAGCGGAGAAACTATCAATTTACAAACTAAAAAAGGGAAATTCCATAACATGATCCCAAAATTGGGTCAACCTGCAAATAATTAATAGGGAATAGAACACAAAAATACTCATTCAGAGACATAGAAACTCATTAGAACAATATAAAAGAGATCAAAGAGCATACATATATCAGGACATAAAAAATTTGCAAGTGCCTTCATTTTGTAAGACCACCCAGACATTGGGCATAACTCAATCTAGCCCTATAACATCTCTCTATTTGAAAAATAAAAAACCCCCCAAGAGGGTACTTCATTATTAGGATTCTGTATTTTATCAGTTTTAGAATTCCTTCTCCTTTTCTGTGTATTACTGTGACTCTACCTTTACCCGTCCTGTCTTGTCCTAAGCTGAGACTAATTCTTGTATCTCTATAAATACATCTCTTCCTATACTTTGAAAATATGATTGATCAATAACAAAACACTTTGTAAATTATCTATATTCTCATCTTTATGACATACAACTTTTGTTTAAAGATTATAATTGAACCCCTTGTATGAATTGTTAAACCAAATTATTTGCTAGATTTCCAAAGTAATGGCTACATCAACATAGATAAGGAAGATTCAAGGGAAAATGACAAGAGAGAATAAGAAATTACCTTGGTGCCTTCCATCCCAAATTGGAAAAGCTTAACTTTGTTAAGGCGGAGAAACTCCTTATTCTCTTCAGGGTAAGGCTCCGGACACAGATATCTGCACAGGAATAACGAGATTTTCAATCCCACATCCACTCAAACAAATCCGACGAAATTAAAATTCAAAACGCATACATACGTACATGATAGAGCGAAGATTAAGGGATTGAATAAAGGGGAAATTAGACGGCTGCGGAAACCCTGATCTGTAAATGCAGAAATCTTCCACCGCCGCGAAGTTGGGCGGCGGCACAAACACCCCGCCGATTAAACCAACCCGTTTCTCGTCTTCTCCTCCCTCAAGAATCACACACATTTTGTTTTGCCTCCGAAATAATCTTTCTTCGATAAAAGATTCTTCTCTCTATCTGCGGAATTCACAGACAACTAATGCTGCACCGTCACCATAACCGCCATCATCATCAATTCAGAATCATCGTCATCGTGATGGTAGAAGGAGAGGAAGAGAGATCCATTGTTGTTTCTATTTAGGGAAAAAATCAAAAAAACCGGGAAGTAATAAACCTGAGCCCCCTATCCTAAGCAGGGAGGCGGGGGGGTTTGGGGTATTGACGGAAGTTGGATAGGAGGGGGAATCCTATTTAGGATTTCTAGATTTATTTGGAGTTTATGTCATAATAAAGATAAAGATTGGGAATACCAAAATTTATAAACAATCCATTATCCAATCAAACTCAATCAAATTATAGATACCAGATGTCCTATTAAAAATGAACGCACACGTAATATTTATAAAATTCTACCCACTTTGATGGACATGACCAAATATTAGTGCGCACAAGACAATGAATATGTTCACTTTAAACATAATTCGCTGTCGAAGTTCGAACATTGATCTCTTCACTCAAATACTGTTTACTAAACCATTGAGTTAAGCATCTGCGAGCAAATCCTATAGTTATTTATAGAATTATTGGTTAACCCATAAACAAGTTGCAATTGTATGTCGAGTCCAAGGAAACTCAATCTGAATTTTGGGTACAGATAATTAATCTAAATTTTAATTTACAGAAAAGTTCACAACAGGTACTTCAATGTGCGTTTTGTTTTGGGTGAAGACCACAATGACATAAACAAGACTAGGTTCTTTATTTAACCAATTCAATTCAAGAAAGTTGATAAACAACTCTCTTAAGAGTCGAAATTAAAATCTTGTGATTACCAATTCAATTATCCGACCAATTTGGTTAGGGGTTACCTTTCAACTTAACCTAAATTTAGCAAGTTAGCAAGTCGATTGGGGCATCACTGGTTGAAGTTTGCATGATGTACAATTATATAGACCATTATAAATACTTAGAGAAAAGGGTCAAATAGGCCCCTAAACTTTAGGGCAAAGGTCAATTAGCCCATTAAACTTTACAAAAGTGTAATTAAACCTTAAACATGTAAAATTGGTTCAATGAAGGCCAAAAATTGATAAATGACCTGTTATTATAGGTCATTCAATTATGGCGACATATTCCGACTACCGGTGAAGGATTCCGGCCACCGGTGAAAAGATCCGGTCACCGGCGACAAAATTCGGCCGTCCGGTTGTCATCTGGTGACCGAAAAGATACCGACATTCGAGACGGTCCGTTTCGATGAGTCAACATATCCGTCAGTCGGTCCTTTCCGATGAGTCAACATATCCGTCAGCCATAAGAAAGCAGAAACCCTAGCTTAACTAATACCAGATGAGAACTAGCTTAACTAATACCAGATGAGAACTGATAGAATTGTATTAAATGAATGTAATTAAACAAGTATAGATCATAGGTATATATACAAGGAGAATCATAAGAGACTAGGATACGGAGTCATAGGGAGACTAGGATAGAAAATCATAGACTAACTCAAATACAGAGTCCTAATGGCCCGTTTGGTTCACGGAATAGGCCGGGAATGGCATGGCATTCCCAGTAATAGGCCTATTCCGTTGTTTGGTAACCATTTCTATTACCAATAATAATATTCCTGGTAATAGCCTATTACCTCAAATAAGGTAATAGCATTCCTTATTACCTCAAATAAGGTAATAGCTATTACTAGGGGGCCCCCTGGTATTAGCCTATTACTGAACGCTCATGAATAGATTTTAGAATTTATTTCTTTTTTTTACCCCTTTCTTTAATCTAATTTTTTTATCATATATATAAATTTATCCTATTTCACCACCGTCGTCGCCGCTACCACTATCACCGCCGCCGCCACCACCACCATCGTCGTCGTCACCATCACCACCATCGTCGCCGCCGCCGCCACCACCGCACCATCACCGCCGCCACCACCACCACCATCACCGCCGCCGCCACCACCACCACCACCACCACCATCGCCGCCGCCGCCGCCACCACCACCATCGCCACAACCGTCACCGTCCCCACCACCGCCGCCGCCCCCACCACTGCCACCGCCGCCACCACCACTACCACCACCGCCACCGTCGCCACCACCATCACCACCACCGCCACTGCCACCACCATCGCCGCCGCCGCCGCCACCGCCACCAGAACCACCACACAGCAGCACCACCGCCACCACCACCACCACCACTACCACCACCGCCACAACCGTCGCTGCCCCCACCACCACTGCCACAACCGTCACCGTCAACACCACCACTGCCACCACCACCACCACCGCCGCCACCACCACCATCACCATCGTCACCATCGCCACCATCACATATTTTTATAAGGGTATTTATGTCTTTTAAAACATATTTCATTTCTATTCCTTAAATCAACCAAACACTGTAATATAATTCCTAAAGTCTATTCCTTCAGCGAACCAAACAATAGAATACAAATCCTATTCTATTCCTTGCCTATTCTATTCCTTATGGAATAGCATTCCTATTACCTCAAAATTCATTCCGTGAACCAAACGTGCTGTAATAGTATGAACTCAAACCTGTTCGCCAATCTAATTTAGTAATTTAATTACATTGTCAAATAACATATTAATATGTTATCAAAGTGTTAAACTTATTACACTAATTAAAATTTTAAGGCAACTTTATATGACTTATTTTACCATTAGGTTAGAATAAAAAATGTAATAAGAAACCAATATTTTATATTATCATCTCTAACGTAATTAACTAATTATAATAATAAAACACCAAGTTTTTTTTATAAAATTATATATTTTTACTTACTTATTAAACTGGTAAAAGACCAGGACTATGTGGTCTAATGGTATTTGGATTGGACTTCCATTTAGAAGGTTGTAAGTTCGAACCTCAGTGGAAGCGTTATTAGCTCTTTGTGTTTCAGTGAGTTGAGAAAGTATATGAACAGATATTACCATGTAATAGAGCTGAATATTTGGGAGAATTTTATGCTATAATTAATAATATTTTTTTATTGATAAATAAAAAATAGAGAAAACAAAGATTTTTATTTTTTATTTTACATTTTCTTTCATTTTAAAAATAGAGATTACGGATTAGAAAAAAATGGAGAAAAATTTTTAGAATTTTAAAGTAAAATTATTTAATTTACATACGCTTTGGGTGAAATTCGCTTTGTAATTCTAATTGATAAAAAGTCACAAAGAAAAAAAAATAAATTTAGATTTCTCGCAACTAATCGACTTTAATTGAAAAGACCAATTTAACCGTATAATTTACTTGACTGGAGTTTTCAGATAATATGAACTATTTAATTATATACAAACAAACAATATGAAATAAAACGAAAATGGGATAAATATAGGAAGTGCTAAATTATATGTCATCTAGAAGATCGTTGAATGTGATGTATGATTGAAGACCAATGGTCGAGACTCGAGATAATGTAAACATATTGACTATACAAAACTTAATAATTCAAACATTTTGACTCTGACTTTGACTACGATATTATAATCATAATTGTCATTTACTTGCTATTCATTTGTTGATTCAATAATGCTTCTTTAAAAAAATAATTTGTAAATTCAAATTTTATATTTAATAGTATTTTTTATTTGTTTTTAAATATATAAATTTTATATATTAATAGTGAACTACTAAGGATGTTTTTGGTTCAAACATTGAAATTGAAATGATAATCAGAATCAAATACTTTGTAATGATAATGAGTTTAAGCAGAAGATGTCACTTTATTTAGTAATAAATAGGAATTGGAATCAAAATAAATAAATTAATAAATTAATATAAAAATATATAATACATATATGTGTATATACATTAAAATTACATATTTAATGCATAGACAATGGTCTTTTTATTTTTATTTTTCATTTTTTCTCCCTTATTTTTGATTCTATTGTTCAAAAGTAGAATAGTAAAAGTGTAATGAGTTTTGTAATTAGCAAATCCCTTAGTTTGGTTGGAGGGAATTGCAATTCCCTCATTTTCATGGAATTAGAATCACATGACCCTCCCATCGTATTTCAATTCCGTGGTTTTTAGGAAAAAAACACTGAGATAAAATTATCCGCAATAGTTATGTTGTGGAACCGTGTTCACCATGTGCATGGTGAACACGGGATAGATCTATAATTTCTAAGCTGTATATTCATAATTGCTATATTTTAGATTCATAACATCTATACTGTAGATTCATAATTTCTATACTGTAGATTCATAATTTTGTACTGTAGATTCAAAATATATGTACTGCGAAGACGAAATAATGCATTTGCGAAGAGAGAAACGTCGTTAACAACAAATGAAAAACAAAATTATGAATCTACAGCATAGAAATTATAGATCTACCTCTGTGTTCACCATACGCATGGTAAACACATTTCCACAACATAATTTGCGAATTATCCCTATCTTTTTTTAAACTTAAAATTGATATTTGACATCTCCTTCTCGATCATAGCATATTTCTTCTTTTACTTTCAACACAAACCGTCAATCAATAGGACAACATTAATCAATTGCAAATATATTTTCTTAAAACTCTCTTATCTATTTTATTGCTTTTATTTATGATTTATCTTACCAAACAGGGCCAATATAATACAAAATCTTCATATAAATACGTTTTTTTTTTTTTTAAAGGTCATATAAATAAGTTATTATTAACAAATTTATGAGTTCACCTACGACATTTATTGAATAATTTATTAACCCTTAATATATTGGCCTATTAACTAGATTTAAAACAAAGGTTTCGTTTGGTAAAATAGTTAATTTTGAATGCTACTGGGACTCTATTATAATGTAGTATCTGTTCATATACTTTCTCAAGTATATTGAAACACAAAAAACTAATAACGTCTCCACTAAGATTTGAACTCACAACCTTTTAAATGAAAGTCCAACCCAGGTACCATTAGACCACATAGTATTGATAATTTTGACCAATTTAATTTGACCAATATTAATTTTTTGACTTGGTTAAAAAATCATTATAAGTGTTTGGTTAATTAACTTTTTGTAACTCCAAAATGCTAAAAATCAAAAAGTTGTTCAAAGCAACTTTTTCAATTAACTTTTTGAGAAAGAAAATTATACCAAACAACTATCACTAACAACTAATTTACCAAACACCTTTCTACAATCAGGTAATGTCATTAACTAGTTATACCCTCTAATTAACCCAATCAAATAATAATCATTTACCAAACTGAGCAAAATTTTATCTCTGTTTACTTATCAAAGACTTACTTATCAAACACGTAGTCTTTGATAATTAAAAACCAGCAATCAATTTAATCGATATCTTAAATCAATTAATTACTTAATACAAATATAAATCAATACTTACACCTTAATATATCACTCTTTCAAAAGGCTGAACCCCAACACTAAGGGCCCCCCACACCTAATATATCACGACTCATGACTACTTCATGCATTTGTCAAGACTCAATAAAATCTATCTTGTTGAAGTTTGGTTGTGATGAAGGAATTATTGGTAGGGATGACCACGGTTCAATTCGAACCGTAATCGTTACTGTGCTAACCGAATCAGAACCGGAACCGTCCGTACGGTTCTGATTCTGGTTCCAAAACCGAAACTTTAAGGTTCCTATTCCGGTTCCAGTTATAGAAAATTAAGAACTGGAACCGCCGATTCTGATTCTGAACGGTACGGTTCTGGTTCAGAACCGTAAATTTTTTTTAAAAAAAAATTAAAAATAAAATAAAATAGCCAGTAGACCACAGGCCTAGTGGCCTACTGGCCACTGTCGCCACATGCAACAAACAATATACACATACCATACAATTTCTTAATTAAAAAAAAAAAAATTCCGGTTAGAATCGGCGGTTCGAATCGTCTATTTTCGAAATCGGAATCAGAATCGTGATCATGCCTAATTATTGGAGAAATGAAGTGTAATTTGGTGAGAAAATAATAAAGTGATAATTTAAATTCATTGTTTGGTAAGCAAGATTTTTTTTTTTTTTTTTTAGTAATGGTAAACATGAATATAATTATTAGGAATTGAAAGGAAAAAAGTAAATAAAGACTAAAATGCCATTGTATAATAATAATAATAATAATAATAATAATAATAATAATAACAATAAGTGTAAAATGGTAATTCACCATGGAATTACAATTCCACAAAGTATGGAATTGTCAATTCTATGGTTGGATGGAATTGCAATTTCATAGAGTTTTGTATGAATGAAATTACAATTCCATCCTATCAAACACCCCATTCGTTCGATAACTATGAAGTTCTAAATTTGACCTTTTATTCCAAATGTTTAATGACATTCTCAGTTTAAATTGATACCAACCTAAGTAGTTTACCTCTTTATGGCCATTCACTTATTAGGGTCGCATAGCATGCTTCATCTATAGGCTTTCCATTAAATCAAACAAATCTTTACGTTGCTTGTCCGAACAGCTCAGTTGATTCCTGGATCGTGTGCAAGGAGACACATAATTAGATCCTGTCAGCTGTAATTTAAAAATTTCATTAAATGTGGTGAATTTCTTGCGAACACCAGTCACCGATTATGAGTCCTCTTACTTATTGAGTCGTTGAATAATTTGTCCTTCTACTATATATATTATATATATATTTTTTTTTGAATGCTACTATATATATTATATAAAATCAAAACACTTATCTGAAACGTAATATAAACGCGTAATTGTTGTACAAGAATTTGACTAGGGACTGCATAATTGAGTTCTCCATCGGCAAGAAGTCTGCAAATTAATTAAAGTGGTTATGGACTATTCTACATTTAAGAATAACAGGTCAAGGGCAAATTCCAACTTCCTTTCTTCTTCTCCAATATTCTGTTAGGTCAGGGTGTAGGGACGTTTAAAATTAGAAATTTAACATTTTAGGGGAGAAACAAATTCCAACCTAATAGTCTTGTTTGGATGTTGTGTGAAGCATTGTTTGCTGAAGCACTCGAGAAGATACAAGTCAAGAGTTCAAATCATGCGGATGTAACAATACTATATAGTATTCGTCAAAATTAGTTTCATGTTTTGAGATAAGAATATTTAGGGTGTGTTTGGTTCGCACATAGGAATCGGAATCGGAATGGGTATTAAATACTTGGTAATGATAATGGATTTTGGTGAAAATATTTAACATGTTTGGTAGTATGGTGGAATGAGAATGGTTAATAATAGTAGTGTTTGAGAATGAATAAGGGAATGAAACCCTTATTGTATTTGGGTATGGGTTTTTCAATTGATGGGGTATTCGAAACCCATAGTAGTGTTCTAAAAATCTATCAACCAAACAAACCCTTAGTATAACCCATTCCTATGTGCAAAACCCACCAACCAAACACACCCTTAATATAATATTATGCAACATGCCGTGTGAGCCAATAGTTATATCATAGACTTAGGTTCAACATACACAATTTACATATTAAATATTCATAATTTATCTTTTATAAAATTGTGAACATTCTTAATATAAATTATGTATTTGGATGCAAGATGGATCCGGATCCATCTTGTCGTGGAGCAACTCATAATGAGTTTTTACATTCTTGTCTATGAGTACGACGTTAGACTTGTTTTGTATCTTTTCATAATTGGGTTAGGTGATGAGATGTGGAGGATAGTTTATCTTAACATTAAGGCATTAGATATAGTTAATTCGAGTGGATTTAATAAGTTTGTATCTTAACCTTTCATAATGCATCCATTTGGCGAATATTTTAATTCATACTATTTCATTTTAGATATTTTGATAAGAGTAAATTCTATCAGAGGTCCCTTGTCTTTGGTGACAATTTTAAATTTAGTTACAGATTATCACTTTTACTATTTAACATCTTAGACTATTGTTTTTGGACACTTTTAGTCATTTTCATGACTTTTCCTATTTTTAGTAAGGGCATTTTTGTCTCTTCATATTTTTCTTTTGTTATTTTTTTCTGATTTCAACTTGTTCAATTGGTTTAGAACTTTAGGTAACTCTGATATTTAGGGACCAAAAATGCGATTTTCCTTCCTATAAATGAAGACAATAATGTCTCATAGTTTTCTGGAAAAAAAAAAAAAATCGAAGATGGTTATTACACAACTACTAGAAGACAAGAATGTCTATAGTTTGTCCGTATGAGTTTAACTCACTAGTTTAGTAGGCAGTATTTGAGAGAAAAGATAAAAGTTTGAATTTCAACCGCGACAGTGTGGAGTTTATGTCCAAAGTGAACACATTCATTGTGTGCATCGACATTTAGCCATGTCTATTGAGTCATTGAATCATCGACCTACCATAATTTACATCCTCACAGATATTATATCGAGCTAGAATGTAGGAGATCTTTGAAATTGTGGATTCAACTTTTGGGAAAAGAAGAATGTCTCATAATTGTTTTCTCAAAACTGTTGTGTTTATGTTTTAATTTACTTGATTTATTTATTATACTCCGTTAAGGAAGGAGGATTTAACGTTACAGTAACCGGGACGGAAAAGAAGGGAGTTGCAGGCGACAGGAAGATGCCTCTTTAATTTCCACGCACTTAATTCCTTAAACCGTTCAATGTCGTCGCCGTAGTCTTCGCGCCACTGACTTCTTCCCCTCTCACTCATCACTTCCCCTATACCCAAAACAATTCATAAATCTTAAAAAAATAAAAATAAATAAAACATTCCCCCCAGAGATTATTGTCTCGACATAGGATACAATACGCACACTGGTATTTGATCTATCATCTTCGTCAGAACATGAAAAACTCATTTGTAAGCCATTTGTTTCTCTCTCTTACGTATATATGTCGAGCAGCCATGGTGTATATATATATATATATATATATATATATATATGTATATATTCATTGCATCCATGCAATGTTCTTGCCTAGCTTCTTGAATCGGGTTTCTAATTATTAATGTTTTTTCCTGTTATAGAATAGAATATAATAATGGCCATGCAGAATATATATGTACATATATATATATATATATATATATATATATATATATATATGCTTGTATAGCGCAGTTTTAGGATCCTAAATGGTGTTTTGTTTGCTGATATAATGGCGTTGATTTGTTCTAGGATTAACGTAACCTCTGATGATAGATTCTGGGGAATGTCTGCATTTCTAAACAGACTTACTCTTTCATTTGAATTTGATTTAATTTAATATGTTTTTGTTGGTAATTAACCTGAAAACAGGCGTCTATAGTGAGAGACCAGAAGAGGGGGAGGTCGATTATATGCCTGCTTTTTCCTGCAGCTTCTCTCTTCTTTCTGCTGCTCTTCATAGGGAGTTCATCTATTCAAATTCGTAAGGAGGTAAGAAAGGCCAATAATATACGACGCTCCTACTGGAAGACGAATTTGGAACCTTTAATTTGTGGTTACCGAGTCAACAGTCTGGTTGGAGAAGTGCAGAAATGTTGTATTTTTTTGTAAGTTTGGTTGGAATTGTTGTTTAATTTATGTGCAGAAACTTATGAGATGGAGAAAGGAGGACAAGGAGGATGTAGATTCATGTCAGGTTTGTTCTTCAATATAATTTGCCCTAATTTTCTGCACAAGTTTTGGGTCCTGTTGAGTAGCCCAAGTAGTAAGTGTTTGATAATTTGTCACATCTGGTTTAGAATACATGCAGACCTCCTGGAAGTGAGTCATTGCCAGAAGGCATTGTTGCCAAGGATTCTAACCTGGAAAGGCGGCCGCTCTGGGGTTCTCCAAAGGTACCATAATCTTATCTGTCTCCACCAATGTGCAAAACTACATCTCATTATTGCAACTTCTTTGCATCACAGGAATTAGAGCATGCTGGAAACCTGTTTGCAGTTGCAGCTGGGATCAAGCAGAAAGAAAAAGTGGACAAGATGGTGCAAAAGGTGAAGCTTTCAAATTTAAAATTTTGGGTGATAACTGTTGAGCATATAATATATATAAACATAAATGTGCATTCCAACTATCAGCTTAAGCTTTTAGTTGAGAGGACATAAAAAATGTCATAACTGATCGACTCAAACTAAGAAGGCCATTAGGCCATGAACTTACAACTTTCTGGTTATCATTTTTTTGACATTATTTATAGTTCATAGTTATGATGCTTTCTCTGTATGGAATTGCAGTTCCTTTCATATAATTTCACAGTAATGATTTTCCATTATGATGGCATTGTTGATGAATGGAAGGACTTTAAATGGAGCAATATTGTGATACACATTTCAGCTCTCAACCAAACCAAATGGTATGTCGAATTGACTGATGCGTTTTAACTAAAAGTCTAAACTGATAGTTGAGTTATATATAGACAAATATTTTTAACATAGTATTATTATGTTGTTATTACACAATTATTATTCAGGTGGTTTGCAAAGAGGTTCTTACATCCAGATATAGTTGCAGCATATGGATACGTTTTTGTATGGGATGAAGACCTTGGAGTTGAAAACTTCAACCCAGAAAAGTATGCATATTGCAAGTTCTTTAAATGGTTTTTTTTTTTTTTTTTGGCGGTTTCTGATGATGGATCTTGTATGTGGCGTGTAGTTATATGTCCATTGTGAAAAATGAAGGGCTTGAGATTTCACAGCCGGCATTGGATCCTGGAAAATCAGAGGTGCATCATCAGATTACAGCGCGAGGAAGGAGATCAAAGGTGCACAGGTAGTGTTTGTGTTTTTGTCACAAAGAAGATTTTTCTGTATTGGTGTGTTCCAGAGCTTTAATCTGCTGCAATATAATGGTGTTCATACTTAATGCTAATCGCCATTGCAGGAGGACTTATAAGCTTGGGGACAAGGGCATTCTGTGCAACAGAAGTAGTATGACTCCCCCTTGCACTGGGTACAGAATTTATATGCAGAAACAGCTCTGTATAGTTTCTTGAACTGAACTCTTTTCTGCTGCAAATTCTCTCACTCAGAATCGAAAGAACAATCTTTGCAGGTTTATTGAAGTGATGGCTCCCGTATTTTCCAAGGCGGCATGGCGCTGTGTATGGTATATGATCCAGGTTTTCCCTTTATTTCCCATTTATGGTTCCATTTCACCAAAAAAAAAAAATCGAGAATTTCTCCCGTTAGTAAATGCACCCCAGAATTGAAAACACTTCCATTCCATGTTCTTATTCTAGTAGTCTGACAATCACTATAGTTTTCTCCCTTTTTTTTGATTGTAACAGAATGATTTGATCCATGCTTGGGGATTGGACATGCAACTTGGTCATTGTGCACAGGTGATTCAAAACTCATGATCCTCTCAGTTTGTTTTCTCCTAGGAACCAGAAAGGTGGTTATGGCTGACAGATTGACAGTAGTGTATAAGTAGGTGTCTTTGTTCCTTGTTTCTTAGGGAGATCGAACGGTCAAGATTGGTGTTGTTGATGCGGAGTACCTCGTGCATTATGGGCTTCCAACGTTAGGAGAGCCGTCAGGAAAAAAGTTCAAACAATCATCAGAAAACAAGAACAAGAACAAGAACAAGAACAACGAGGTCAGAAACAAGTTATGCAAATTCTAAAAGTCTAAACGGATAATAAGCCTACATAATATCTTCAATTGCAGGCGACAACAAAAACAAGAACAAGAACAACCACATCCCACTCAATTGACTTCAGAGTCGAAGTAAGTCTCTCTTTCTGACCATATATATATAATATATAAACATAAATGTGCACTCCAACTATCAGCTTATTCAGTTTGGCATCAAAGATCTGATAAAAAAAGACAATATGGAGAGTGCTAAACAATCCTTTTGACAATTAAGATGATGTTGTAGGTGAGAAGACAGTCTTATAATGAATACAAGGTGTTCAAGAGGCGATGGAAGAAGGCTGCTGAGATGGATAAATGTTGGATAGATAAGTATCCGAATGATACATCGTATATTATTATATGAAGTAAAGAACAAAATAGGTATTTCAAAAACATCATATATTTTATGAAGTAAAGAACAAAATAGGGCGTTTCAAAAGCATATTAGCTCTTTATTTTTAAGATTCTTAATCCTTTTCCTAGGAGTAGGATGATTAGTATAAAGGTAGGGGTGTTGGCATAAATGATTGTGGAAATTAGAAAATGAGAAAGTATTTGTTGTGAGTAGCCATTCTATAGGGTTTTTGCATTGTACTGGTCACGTGCAAATTCTTGAATGATCTTCCAAAAAAAAAAAACAAAATAAAAAAAATCACAAGATATAAAGAGAGAAGATGACTATAGCTTCCATCATCATCATCTTCCTGGCTTGTCCTCTATGAGCACATGGGTTGTTTGGACATTGTCATCCCAAAAGAAAATGAGATTTTAGGTCAAAGAGATTCCCCAACACTATTTGTAATTTGAGATCTGATTTGTACATCCCCACCCCCACTCCTACAGTCCCACTCCCATAAACACAATCTTGTTCATATTGTATCACACTCTAAATTATAGTATCATTCATTCAATGTGAAATTCCAAAGTAAACATTGACTTGTAGATTGTTGAAGGAAGCATTTGTCTATGTTCCAACAAGACAACATAGATTTATGTAATGAAAATTGACTTTGAGGTACAATTTAATTGGTTGCCTAATTCAAAATATAAAAGTAATAGTTTGTTTTGCTAGTCGTTACTTTGTCCAGTTGCCATGTATGGGCTCAAATCCAATATGAATTTGTCCGGTTGTGAACACTAATGTACAAACGCTTAAAACAAATTCGAGTCCTTTACTCAATAGTGGATTTTGGTGTAATTTTTGAAAAGTTTTGGTAGGTGTGATTAGGAAAAAGAAAATAATAGCCACTCTGAGCTGCCCCAGTGGGCACGTGGGAAACATACACCCGCTGGGCTGCAAATTGCGCTGCAAGAGCCTATTTTGCTTTTCTTTTTGTTTTTTTGTTTGTTTGTTTGTTTTTTTTTTTAAATTTTTATCTCTGCAAAATCTTAAGGTGTTGCAAGAGAAAAAAAATCATGAAAAGCTTTGTTTCCCATTTGTCTAAACGCTTCATCTTTGGATTTTACTGTTCCAAAATCTCACCAAAATACACAAATGGAGATGCTCTAAGGCTATAAAGTATATCAAAGTTCTAGTGCAAGACCAGGTGGAGACACTCTCGAGTTTGTGGTAAAAAACAAACTTATTGACCTTTGTAACTTCAAAGGTAGTTACAATGCAATGAATTGCCACTCTATCATGAAGTCAATAAAGCAAAGTATAACATCACAACATTATTGTTGTAACAAAATGGTAGCTTGGCTTCATTGCCCTGACCTACTTCCACCCCTCCATAATTGTTAGGGTGGCTACCATTCATAATTCACTTGTCATCCCATAAAGTCTCATCTAATTTATTTATTGCCATTGGTCAAGATAATGAAGGTTCTTTCCCCCCTACTTCCCTCTCTAATCCGCCATTCTAGGGTGGGCACCAGCAAGAGATCTGTAGGGGCTGTGCCTTATTTATCAGGACAACCAAATCAATTTCCATACATAACCATCTCACCTCTTCAACATAAATACACACCAAACCAAACCTTGTAGACCTCACGCCTCCGGAAAGGATTGCACCCTAGACCGGAGGGCCCCACCTACCCCTGCTCGCTCTCGAGGCATGGTGGAGATAACTAATAAGTCGCATAATGTTCCTCAACGGCCACGGGGTACTCACAAGGCTAATTCTATAGGAGCTGAACTATGAACAGAACTCTTAACTTTCTTTAAATTGGTCAACCAGTTCAACTATGCCTCCAGACACCAGAGACCATAAGATTGGCCTAGACTCGATTTAGTTGCAGAAAAGCAAGAGGATCTCGAAACACGAGCCCTTTCCATTGCGTGAGGGAAGCACGCAAAACCATCTCAGTTCTCACTATAGTCAACCTAGCCCAACGAAGAACCGGATAAACGTTGAAGAGCATATGAAAGGGGCACAAAAAAGTCGAAATCTAATCCAAGAATTAGTCAAAACACTAGACAAAAGGGCCAAAGGGTACAAACACACAATGCAAAAGGCTAAATAGCAGCAGGGTGGCAATATCATTTGTTCATTATAAAATATGGCCCCAGCATTATAGTCATATGCACACACCTACCCATTGTCAGACTCAAGTGTAAACAAATAATTGATGATCCAAACATTCAAACAAATAATATTATCTTAATCCCTGTACTAAGTATCTCTGTAAACAAATAATGCTATTCTTAATCCCTGTAATAAGTATCTCTGTAAACAAATAATGTTATATCTTAATCCCTGTAATAAGTATACCTGCAAAACATCCTCACAAGCCAAACATCATCAATCACTAATATATAGAAGAATTTAAAGGAAATATAATGATATAATTAACCCAACTAAGCTTTCATTATGAGAGACAAGCTTTCTTATCTCACACTCAAAGCTCAAAAACAACCTAGTTCTTGGTTCTACTACTTCCAGAACAACCACATAAATTAACACTAAAACAAGGACTAAGTAGCAGCAAAAAATTAACTGGAAATAGCTGTCCTGTCCTCTCCTGTCCCCAAAACAATTATAGACAAGAAATAAACAAATAATCTAGAACAGATATTCCTACTCCTTTCACACACTCAACACAATCAGATTTACTAGTAACTAAATTAATTTCCTTTTTTTTTTTTCCTTAATCAAATAGGGAGCATTAAAGAAGATAGATACAGTACTTTTTTTTCTGCTTCTAGAGATGGCATCCAAAGCAATTACAGGTCTTGGGAGTGAAAGAGCAGAAGCCAAAGGGCCTGTTTGGGATGTTGCAGTTGATGGCATAGCAGCAGGGGGTTGGGAGGCAGTAGCCTTTTCCGCCGCCGCCGCCGCCGCAGCAGGTGCAGAGGGCGCAAATCTGGAAGCTGCCGAGCTTCCTCCGGGTGTCATTCAGCATCACCGCCATCTTCTCCGCCTTCCCCGGCTCGAGAAGCGGCACCCACCCTTCATTTTCCGGCGCCGCCGACACGTTTGCCTAAAAACCCACACCAAGAAAACGGACATAAGCCTGGGAAAAAAGCCAAGAAAATCAAATCTAGAGAAAAAATAAAAAAAAGGGATGAAAGGGTACACTGCCCAGTGCCCAGAACACTCACCGGAGAGTCTATGGTTCCATGGGAAGTAATGAATAGCAGGATGAATAGAAGGGAGGAGAGAACCCTACTACTGGCAGTAGGAGACATTTTTGTGCTTTTGAATTTCTTTCCTTTTTATCTTTTTCTCTCTTTCCCTTTCAGCTAGCGGTGGTGGACGGTGGTGGTGGTGGAGGAAACAGTGGGTGTTTGGGCTTTAGGCCTACAAATCTTCTTCCCCCAAATCTTGAAAATGTGGGTGCCTGATTTCTTGTTGATTCCAATCTAAAGATATATAAAGTGGGTGTGTGGGGGGCTGTGCTTTAATGGCATTCAAGTGTCAACAACTTGGTGAATTTGGATTTTGGAAAAAAAAAAAAAAACTTATTTTAATGGTAGCAATAATAATGCAGAATATACAATGGGGAGGGGAAGAAGAAAGTGAAACCAAATTATATAAAGTGGGTGCCACAGTAACTCAGTGAGTGAGAGTGAGAGTGAGAGTGAACGTCATTACATTATGGGTTGGGTTGGTTCTCTACTTAACTTGGAATCAACTACTCCGACACGTGGTCTACGTAAATACTATTGTTTTTCCCCACCAAATTATATTTCCAACTCATACTTTCATTAAATATTTGTCAAATTATATTATAGATTTCATGAACCCGTCTCTGGAAGTGTAAGGGACGTGAGGTTTGTAATTTTATAACCCGTCTCTAAAAGTATATTTGGTATAAGGGATGTGAGGTTTATAGATTTCATTAACCCGTTTCTGAAAGTATATTTGGTGTGATTTCATTAACCCGTTCCAGGAAGTATATTTGGGGTAAGGGATGTGAGGTTACATCTATTAAGTACTCTTACATTGCTTTTCAATATTTCTCTCGTAATCTTACATTATATCTCAGAAGGAATCTTATTACCCCTACTCTCACGAGTAACTCAATTAGTTCATGAGTGAAAGATTGCACCTAACAATGCAAGATCAAATCTTGAGAGTCGTAATATGTGAATTTTAACATCACTATAAGCATCCAGCATTATCTTTCTACTCAAGGAACCGCTAAGTCACCATGATTTAACTCCAATTTTAACCATCAAACACAGATATTCTTTTTACCCTATTCCCATATCCATATTTTCTAACCATCCAAACGCAGCCGACAATTATATAAAATAATCTTAATGTATATACAGAAGTGTGGGGAACAAAGAGTTGAAATACACAGAAAACTTTTCTCAAGTATAAAGCAAACAGTAATATAGAAATGGACAAACAAATTTGCATAGAGTCAGATCTCAGTAACTAGACAAACATGTAGGCATGATGGAATTTGGCTGTTAGTGATATTACTACTCATTTTGTACTCATTATCCTACAGAATTGCTATACAACTTTAGTTCACTGTATACACATAAAACAATATCATTCCATATGTTGTGCATCTTGTCCCAAGATCTCCCATGTAGCAACCATAACTGCTTATATCTCTGCCTTCAATTCTGAAGTTATTAAGATTGATAAATCTCATGTTTTCAAAAAAAAAAAATGATAAATCTCATGATAAATCAGAAGTCAGTAGTCTCAAGTGATGATAAAAAGTGGCATGCAAAGTATTAGCTGATAAAGTGTTAAGAGTCGTACATTTCTAAGAAGAGATCGAGCTTTATCTTGATTATATAAATTCTCTAGATCTTGCATAATAATGCACGAGCAATAAGGTGAACATAGAAAGCAATAAGGTGAGCGCAGAAGACATTATGTGTTAGTAGTGGTGGCTTAAAGAATGAAGATTCTCAGCTGCAAATGCAGTGAAATATCAAATCATAGATACTATGGGAGAAAAAGAATAGTTGCTTGTTTCCTATGTTCACAATGGAGGCTTCTTTAATCTTTATGGCAGGGAGAGTTGGGGATTTTCAAGAAAAAGCTTTATACAGCAATAGTTCAATATTTTACAGCCAACCAGTTAAAGGGAGTTTTTAAAAGTTGAGCAGCTTTTTACGGTCTAAAGCAACAATGTTCAATAGATAGTCTGCTTAATCACAAGTGACTCTAATCAGAGGCCATTACGAAAGAAAGAAAGAAAGAAAAGAAGAACAACTTCACAGTTAAAATTACCTCTTGACAATACCATAGTGTTAAGGAGTGGGCCATTTAATCTCTCCCGCAGTGAATCAGAGAGCTCGTCTGTTCTTTTGACTGCTGTAGTCACCAGGATCTCCCCTTGATGACTCCTGCAAAGATAAAAATCTGTCTTCCAAAAGAAGAATTAGACAAAGCAAAACGGAGATCAAAAGAGATCACACCAAGAAAAAACAAAAGGAAGAAGATTGAATGAGAGCAGGCATTGGTATCAAGCTGGGCTGCTGGGGACTGGGACAGAATTGATTCACAAAGAGTAGAAAAATGGCTCTGGGAACAGAATATTTCATGGTTAACTTCAAAAAGTGCAATAACATATGTGGAGATTTATTCAGGGCACCAAAGTGAAGCTCTACATCAACATTGTCAAGTGAATGCATTATCAGCACAGAATGGCTTTAATAGAATTATGTACATCTCCAACAATGGAAATGAATTTACAGGCAACTGTTATTAATTCTAAAGGAGTTCGAAGACACTGATACTGGCTGTAACCAAGAGGAAGATCATCCTTCTGTGTCAATGTTATTACCACCAGATGGCATCTGTCTCACTTTTGAGAATGACAGTCACCTGGGCTCCGTGGAACTTGCCTCAACAAGCACCTTCTGAAGACAAAGTCAAAGTACCAGTTCCTGATGAAGAACCCAAGAAATGCCGAACAGTAGGAGCGTTAGTTGTAGATGATGGTGAGATATTGTAGGTGAAAACTCCCATTGGGTGATCAAACTTGCAACTTGGACCAAACTTGCATATCCCATACCGGGAATAAAAAGCACATAATGGTTCTCCCTACAAAGCATAGATAAGGAAATTAAAGTTGTTTCTACTTGGCTAGCTTCATTATTTGAAAGAAAATCAACATGAAGAGCAAAACAAGTATTGAATACTTTTTTTTATCATGATGCCAATATTATTAAGCCAAATAATTAACAACTATCTTCATCCTAACGGCTACATGCACCTACACTTATTCTCAGATAGAAGTACTAATGCTTTAAGTTGTATCCAGTTAGATATGAGATTCATGCCAAATAATATAGAGAAAATTGGAGATTAACTCACTGGGCGTAGAGGAAGTCCAATTGGACTCAACAAAGAATCAGGAGGAGGAATCAATCTTTCCCTCGGATGATGGAATTTACAAACAGCACCAAACTTGCAATCCCCAGTCTTCATGTAGAATTGGCATTCTGGCTGACCTGGTCGTTCAGGGAAGACGTTCTCTCTCTGCAATGCATAATACCCCATAGGTAATGTACCAGCACGATAAGAAGGATTCATCCCTTGAGATCCCACGTTTGCCACCTCACTGGAACGAGACAATCCATAAGCCTGACTATTTCCTACTGTCAGCTGTTGGCTCTCAGGGGATGAAACTGAACCAAGTTGTCCCTGGAAAGGAGTCCTAAAAAAGAATCAGAGTCTAGGATATTCCTGTAATGTTTCCATGTCCCAAGTTAACAAAATCTCATCAAATGCATGTCATGCAAGAAAATTAACCATTTTCAGAATACAATCCATATGGGGTCCTCTTTTCTTTTTCTTCCACATAATTCATAGAGAATTCATCTTCCCTCACATGTCTACCACGTGGATGCTATTCTACCTAGTTGTTTAATTCGGTATCCAATAAATATATTACGTAACGTTAGCTATAGATCAAATCCTAAAGCACAAAATCAGCATCTGAACTTTTATCTCTGTTATTCTGCATTATTTTAATGAAGAAAATATAGTGTGTTATCTCAGTCATTTTTTTGAGGCTCTGAATGACAACAGATATAAAAATATTGACTCAGCAGATATTTAAGCAAAACACACACATTTGCATACAAAAACGGAAAACATTGAACTACTTAGCAAAATGCCATTGTGAAGCTCACACTGTATGCAAATCCTGGAACTGATACTACCCCTTGAGGAACAATCAGGGGTGTGTAACTTGAAGGACCTTGCCAACGTGGATTGGTAATAAAAGAAGCTCTTGACAAGGGATATGATAGCTGACCAGGAGTAGTTGGAGAATGGACGGGAGGATAAGCAGGAGAACCACGTAGAGGGACCATCATATTAGATGGTTGAGGATGGTGAAATTTACAAGTGCTCCCAAACTTGCATTGTCCAGTTCTCATATAATAGGGGCATTCAATGTCATTCTGAGACAATGAACAAATGATTATATTACAATACTTATCTGTTCAAGCATAAATATCTGTCAAAAGGGCAATGGTATCCTTGACCTATATCACATATCATATTCACAGCACAAACTTCACACACTAACTTCAAAAGGGCAATGGGGTTTCATATGATTGGTAGTCATCATCAGAAAGTAATGAAAATGAGTTCAAACTGAGAGGTAAGCTGAAATATGTTCTAGAACAAATTAATAGCAAATGATATGCTTTAAAATTAATCCATCACCCCCATAGTCTGTCATGAAAAAATAGGCTTTATGTTAATAGAAGGCCAACTGTATTTAACGGAGGAAATAGAAGGCAATACCGGGCGAAGTGGATAGCCCAAGACATTTAGAGCAACTCTTCCAGCAATCCCAGCCTTATCTCTAGGATGGTGAAACTTGCAGGTGGCCCCAAACTTGCAAGCTCCCGTCTTCAAGTAGTACTGATCAATAATTCAAAATAATTCATTCACAATTTGAAAATAATAGATGAAAAAAACTCATTGAAACATGGGCCCCAGCAAAAGAAGAATGTTATGGGGCCACGGCTACAACGAATGCACTTTTGGCATTAGTAAATCCATGGTATAGATTATAAACAAAGTTGTAAACACTAAGATCTTATGACAAATATATATATATATTTATATATATATATATATATATATACACACACACATACACACACATATGAGAATAATCTAGTCATGACTGGAAGGGGAAAGAATTGGGGAAGAGTTTCTCTCCAGTCACGAGATTAGAGAATTTGACCACTTATCATTATGAAATATATGTCATCAATATGTAGATTAAAAACAAAGATGGATGGTTCCAGATTTCACGTCATGGATAAGTGAGAGATGGATTGGATATTACTCCATTAAGCAATCTTCTCCTAAAGGCACAGACACATAAATTTGGCTTTCTTACCTGGCATTCTGGCTGCCCTACTCGTTCTGGATACTCACCTTTCATCCTTGCCGCAGCAATTGCCTACAAGTTAAACTTTCTAAGTCTATAAATTCCTGACATAGAAATGAAAGAACACAAGAATATGTAGAAGCAAGATCTAAATGAGTCCATGAATACCAACAATTAGACACAAGTCAAAGGCATAAAAAGAATGCTACATGTTTGCATGAACACTAGTGAAGCTTGAAATTGAATTTTGCATGGCAGACACACGCCTAAGGGAAAAATGTACCTATTCAGCAGATGTTAAATTGGTATGTCCATTCCATCCAACTTGTTCAAAAAATCAACAAGATCTATTATGCATGTCCATCTAATATGACTCCTGTGTTTTATTATGTAAGCTCGGTTTCATCAAGAACCCATTACCACTCCAAAATCAGGGCCAAAAGCTGTAAATCTATTATCTATGTCTTATTTTCTTCTTCTCTCTCTCTCTCTCTCTAGAACTCCTCCAAAGTCCAAACTCTAAAACATGACAGTATTGCAAATGAAAAGTGCATTTTACTGGGTACCCTTTTCTTATCTATTTTTGCATTTAGTATTTCAGAAACATTGCTCTTACCAGTTTCCTGTTAGATGGATGGTTAAATCGACAAGATGCTCCAAATCTACAAAGACCAGTTCTGATGTAGTAAGAACAATCTGGTTCACCATCACGTACTGGATATGTCCCAGACTCCATTGTCTCCATTGATCTCAAACTCAGTTGCCACAGTGTTTCTGAAATAGTAACAAGTCAGTAATTAATTGCAGCATTAAATAGTATAGTAATGTACTCCAAACTGATATTCAAATTAAATAACTACAATTTCCATAAATTTCTTGCCCCAAATTTCCATAAATTTCTAAAGATATGCAATTTCACATCATTTGAATTCAAGAAGACAAGAACCAAAATCCTTACCTATATGCAAGAGCTTTAGAGAAAATAAAACTCAACATAAATACGATAAATTTAATTCAATTTCCAACAGCAAAGCACTAAAATTTCAAAAACTGAAAAGCACCAAGCACCCAGGTCCTCTTTTCCTTCTTCCATAAAAGTTAAAAACTTGCAGAACTATTTCAACCAAGTTGATGTCTTGATGAGAATTTATGTCCCTATAAATTACAGAAATCCCAAAAAACGTGAAAAGCCTGATAATGTATCGACAAAGCCATTCATGGCTCGTCTTCAAATTACTCTTCCACATGACGTTACCACTGCTTCCCTTTACTTTATGCTCCCCCATTGTGATAGCAAAACGAAAACTTCATATGATCAACTACAATCTAAAATAAAATTCAAATTTTATTAAGCACATTAGGGCAATCATTGCTCGTGCACAGAGTAAAGAGAAAAGGAACGCCGATTTCTAGATAATACTTATTTTGGAAAGAAGAGAGATAGAGAGAGAGAACGGGGGATCAAATACCGAAAAATAACCCAGCAGTAAAAAAAATAAAAAAATTCCCACTTTTTTTTATACTTTTATCGGTGTTAATTAAAAAAACAAAAGAAAAGAAAACGCAACAGTGGCATCGACTTCATCGCTGATCCTCCCTTAAAGAGAGGAGACGCGTAGAGAGAGAAAGGCGGACCTTGGGCGAGGGGCGGAGACAGAGAGGAAGGACCTTCGGTGACGGAGGCCATGGAAGCAGAAATTCCGGCGGCGGCTTCAAAATCCATCATGTGGAAGAAGAAGAAGAAGAAGAAGGAGACGATGATGATGATGCGGAGGAGGAGGAGGAGGATGAGAGTGCGGTGGTGCTTCTTCCATCAGCAGCAGCACCGCCGTCCCTCCAGAATTCCCATTGATTCCGAGAGACCAAAGGCCCGCTGTTGCCCTTCCCAACCCCCGATCAAAAATGCGGCAGCAGCTCGGGAGAGGGATAAAAATAATGAACCGAAATGAAATTATTATTTTTATTAAAAAAAATTAAAATCGGAGTGGAAGAAAAGTAGCGTTCTCTCTTCTCCACACAAATAACAGAGGGAGAGAGAGAGATAGGAAGAGAGAGAAGGAGAGAAAAAGGAGCGAATAAAAGCCGCCCACTCCCAGACAGAGAGAGAGGAAGCTCTTTTTTTTTTTTTTTTTTTTTTTGGGGTTTACGGCACGAATTTAGTTTACTGGGTTCGAATTTCGACAGTTCCAGTCTGAGAATTATATTCAAAGTAAAAATGAAGTATTTCGTTAAATTTAATTAGGGATTTAATTTTTTGAGGGGAAAGAGAAGAAGCTTTCACCCGCTTTTAATCTCCAACCGACGCCTCTTGTCTTCCCCACTCGCGGGCGTGATTCTTAACCTACCACTGCCCCGTTCCCGCTTTCGCAATATCATTAGCTCCCAGCAGCCCATCCAATCATAAATTGTTATTGGGACTCTATTACTCCAAAGAGTTAACCAAACAGATGAAATAAGATTCTCGAACTATAATGTTACAAATTTTATTCTTATTAACATTAAAAAAAAATATTTTTAATACAAGTTACTTCTTTTGAGTTTCTAAGTAAATAAAGTTTAATTCTCGTATCTAAAAGTTACTAATTCAATTATTTCTAATGATATGTATCACATATTAGTGGTATATTATTGATCATTTTAAAATTTTATTAATTGTAACATCTACAATATATATATATATATATATATATATATTAAATGAATCAATTTTAAAATTATTTATTAATTGATACATCAAAAAATAAAGTTGGAACATGTATAACACTGCTCTTAATAAATTAAAATAACTTATAAATGTGTGACTGACTGACTGTAACAATATGACATATCATGTTTTTTTTATAGGTGGGAAAAAATTGGTGAACAAATAGTTGCTTTCATGGTAAAAGTAAGAAATAAAAAAGTTGAGTGTTATAATAATATATATAATTAGACAGAGCAATATTTGTCAGGAATGAATCTTATGCCTTAAACGGGACAAATTACGTCTAAAATGATACAATTGATTAGTTATAATATCAAATAAGAGACCTGATTTTGGTTAATGATTACTCAAATAGTGACACTTTGAGCATAATATTTTGTTTGAGTAGTTGAGGCCTTGAGTGTCATCTAATATTATTCATGTTTTCAGTGTCCTTAATTATAATTTGAGTTAATACCCAAAATCGTCCTCGACTATAGTGGTTTTTCTCAATTTCATCCTAAACGACTTTGGTGACCTAGTATCGTCCCAGACTTTTGTGTTTCGCTCAATTTAGTCCTCCATTTGTTATTCCGTCAAATTGGTGTTAAATTTAGGGACAATTCAGTAATGTCAATATTGATCTCTCTTTACTTTCAACTTGTGAAGTGCGAAATTCCTCTTTCTTGTACGAATTACACCCAGAATTACTCCCGGACCTGCAAATCAAATTTTATATTTGCAGTTTTAGGAGTAATTCTGGGACTAATTCGTAAAAAAAAAAAAAAAAAAAAGGGATTTCGCAGTTCACATGTCTATGAGTAAAGAGATGCCAATATTAAAATTACTTAATTGTCTATTTATTTAACACCAAATGGATAGAATAACAAATGAGGGACTAAATTGAGTAAAAACACAAAAGTATGGGACGAAATTGAGCGAAACATAAAAGTCTGGGACGATATTAGGTCACCAAAGTCGTTTAGGACGAAATTGAGAAAAACCACTATAGTCGAGAACGATTTTGGGTATTAACTCATTATAATTTGATGGCAAAAACTTGTGCGAAACCGTTTTAAAGATTTTTATATGTAAGATAGGTTAAAAAAAATATAAAAATATAATACTAATTAGGAATAAAGTGTATTATTTATATGGAGAAGTATAATACTTTTGAAAAAAATGTAATACTTTTACATTTTGATTTAAAAGTAATAAAGTATTATATTTTTCTCCATAAGTATTACTCCATACATTTTTTCTTGTAAGTAACAAACACATACCAACATTACTTACAATGAAAATTATAATACTTTTAATGAAAAAATATAATACTTTTAGGTCACAAGTTTGAATTTCAATGGGACAGTAACTCTTTGTGTTTCAATAGATTAAGAAAATATATATGGACAGATATTATGGAGTATATTGTAACAGAGTCAATAGTACTAAAAAAAAATGAATTAAATTTGTAGGAGCTATCCCCATCAGTTCATAAATGATAAATTAATGCGCCTCATTAGTTGCAAGTTGCAACCTTCACGGTAGAAAGTCTTTGTACTAAAATCCTCTATGGCTATTTTGGAAATAGGTTCATAATAATACAAATCATTCAGCATAGTTTGTGAAATTTTATTATGTATGTTATCAAACATTAGGTACTCTCAAAATATTATTACATATAAAATAAGTATTGTGTGAGACAATCCCACGTGATAGAAATATATAGTTACTATCTAAAAGTGTGTAGTAATAAACTTCACTCCAAAAAGACCCACAAAGGATTTATTTTCCTGTTTTGCCTTCACCAATCAGTACAAATGCATACCAGAAGAGGTTTTAGCACATTGCTCCACTAGTCACCGACTCACCGAGAATGATAAACAATTAACTTCAAGTTTCAGCTACTGTTTCAGTGATTGTTGTCGATTGAACTTTTTATTTTTTTTTAATTAAGGCTAAGTACTTACTCCGTATTAATCTTTGATCTTGTCATATTCGTATTCACTTTTTAGGATTTTTTTTTTTTTAATGACGAAAAAATTTATAGTGTATACTTAAATGTGTGCACGGAATAAACCTTGTTTATATGTAATAGCCTACAAATTACACCAAAAAAAAAAAAAATGTAAACTACTAAGAAAATCATATTTTCTCAAAAAAAAAAAAAAAAAAAAACTAAGAAGATCATATGCAACAAGCTTGAATAAGAAGGTGTTGACTAGAACTTTCTAACTTATTTATACTAAAATACTTCTAAAACTTTATCTATAATAAATGTGCTCATGAATATTGCAAGGGTATGCAACGATCAATTTTGGTAGGTTTTTAGTTAATAACTAAAAGAATGTTAATAGAGTTGTACCCGACCAAAGGACTAAAACACCTAACATCTTTTAACTTCATAACCAATAATCATTCATTGCATATTTCTACATTTAAATGCCTATTGAATTTTTAATCATCAACATAATTATAACCGACCAATAACCAACCGAAATAACCGAAATTTTTTGAACTTCATGTATCACAACTGATAACTAACGGAATATTGAAAATTTCAGTCAATTCGATTATTAGTAATCAGTTACTAAATCGGTAACTTTATTTACTCACCCATAATTGCAATTGAGGGAGAAGAGTGAGTGTATAGGTCCTAACTAATCGATCTAAAATTTAGTTCAGAAGATTTGCACTACCTTGCACACACTATTCAATTAGATCAAATTTTGTAGAACCTAGTACTATAGTACTGTACTGCTGTATAAATGTAACCGGACAATAAGTTAATGACCACTTGTAAGAACTTGTTACCTTAGCGAGTGCATATAGCAGTGTCCTTTGACATAAAAACAGCATAGGTAGGTACTAGTGGATATCAGCAATGAAAACAGTATAGGCACAACTGCCCAATGCTTGCTCATATGTAAGAATCTGAAAGTTTGAAACCAGCATAAATACACCAACTTTCAGGAATGACCAAAAAATACTGCAACAGATTAAAGGTGAGTATCCAAAATGAGAAAGGAAGTGTCATAAAATTACCGTTTTGTTGATAAACATAACTCAAGATCAGTTTCACTCGAGAAAACATAGTATTCCAACTACAGATAGTGCCGCATATCATAACATTACCATATTAGTCCCTACTTAATGTTCTGGATCTCTTCAAGCATCACTACGGCTTGATCACAAAGAGTGGCTGAGGATAGAAATTTGAGATATTGGAGAGCTTATAAAAGGATTTGAAGGAAAAAGGAGAGTACAGAAAATGAATCAAATGTTAATGAGAAAACTCACAGTATCAACGCTGACGGGCTTGCCATCCTCAGCAAGGATCTCAACTATTGTTCCCGATTGATCAGCCTGGAGAGAAGTGTATTTTTTTTAAGGTTAAGAAATCACAGACATTGAAAGGGTATAGTCACAGAAAAGCAAATTGACATCACCAATCATCTTGAAGAACTAGTGCAACACTAAATCATGCTGCTAAAAGAGGTGTAGTTATGCAAATACAGAGACCATTGGACTGTGTAACACCAAAAGAGAAGAAAAAAATTTGAGGTCTCGGACACAGATCGGGCAAAACATGTTGATAATGCGGGGAGGATGTTTATGAAGGGGATAGAGTGCATTGTTTACACATACCCTCAAGGGAAGAGGATCAAACATTAAAGCACTGTAATATCATGAGGTTTTGAGTTCTTGATCAAGGCCACAAAATAAGTTTGCCCACGAATAAGCTATAAATTTATGATGCTAGAATAAGAAAAGAATGCTTACTTCAATTTCATTCATCAATTTCATGGCTTCAATAATGCACAAAACTTGTCCCTTCTGTACTTTGTCTCCAACCTGCATTAAAATTCCATTCATGCCAAGAATTTCAGGTGTGTGTGTGTGTAGAAAGAGAGAGAAGAAGAAGAATAGAAATACTACCTTCACAAATGGTGGTTCACTGGGTCCTGGACTTCGATAGAAAGTTCCTGCCATGGGGCATTTCAGTGGAGGCAAAGATGACTCAGATGGCTTGGTTTTTTGAGGGAGAGGTGCCTGGGCTGGGCCTGGAACTGGAGGAGGTGCTGGTACAGATGAAGGGAGTGCACTGGGTTGTATAGCTGGCATGTAGTGTGACTGGACTGGCGGAGTATGAGGAGGAGGAGCAGCAGATGGTGGTTGCAAGGCCTCCTTTTTACGGATTATCAGTTCACAGTCAAGTTGTTTCAACTTGAGCTCCGCAATATCTCTGGAATCAACTAGCCTTCAAAATATAGAACATTAAATTATTACTACTCGGATAATTGTGTGGAGATGATAAAAGTATCAAAAGGTTATGCATGAATACTTGACAAGAGTTGAAACTTGGCTTAGGAACTCAGCTATCGACTCTTCAGAGGCCAAAACTGCAGGCGAAGTCTCACTCGAGAGCTTGACATCATTGGATGCCGATGATACTTCAGGCTCCGGAGGAGTACCAGGTGCAGCATTTGATGATCCATCCACAGAAACCTTAAGAAAAAGCACATCCATGAAGAAATTCTGAAATTTCCTCTAACAAAATCCGCGAAAGGGAACTTACCTTATTCAATTGTGCTTTTGCTACAACAGAGTGATTCCAGTTGGAATGCAAATCCTGCCCGAGGGAGATTGAAATCATCACACACTTCTCAAAGCAATAGTGCCATCGATTTTATCTCACAAATGAAATATAGATTTGAATCATAACAGTAAGAGAATACCAGTTCCCAAATACAAACACTGAAACGGAATCAAGGAACAGATTACATGTTCCAAATTTAATTTTCTTCCATTATCCTGAATGGAATAAGCATTTCTGTTTATGCAATCCAAGTAGTATATTTTCATCTTTCATTTTCCTGTTCTTTTGTTCCATCAGAAACTTCACAATCCGAACAGAGAAAGATTATTCTCAGCTACTCTTTATAATTATAACAGAATTTTCCTCTAGCATACTAACAAGTAACAAATCACCAATTTTAATTCCAGTAATTTCTTTGTTCCTGCTTTCACATTAAGCTTTTCCTTTCCTCAGTAAATTCAAGAGTTTAACCGGAACGATATTCTCATTCCTATTTCTGCTTGCAACAATTCTCAGTTCATTTTTCGTAAAACCAAAGGAACACAAAAATAAGTAATTAATGTTTTGTTCTACAGAACAAAAAGAGATCCTGCATGCATGGAAGACCACCATACATACATATATAAACGCGCAAATCAATAAATAAATAACAAAAAATAGAAGGCGGTTCAAGCATTTAACCAGAATTGCGCATCTTAAACCATACAAGTATTAACTAATTAAGTATACAAGTACAACGCATGAAATGCTATGCAGGGGTGGGGGAGGAGTCGAGAGATGGATACCTTAGAAGAGGAGAACCGGAGCTTGAGCTTGAGCTTGGGATGAGATTGCGAGTAGTGGTGGCGGAAGAGAGGCAAACATTTTGATGAGTTCAGAACATTTCTCGTCGCCGTCGCCGCAGAAGCTGAGGTAGTGGCGGCGGCTGCAGCGGTAGCTCCGACGGAAGTAGCCATTTGGCAAAGAGCTTCAACAGAAATACAGAAAAAGAGAAGGGATATTTCCTCCGAGAAATTCGATCATCCGAGAGAGACAGGTGTCGGATAGAGGGAGGTTATGATTTATGAAATCCAATTGGAAGAGGAACAGAAACAAGACAGAGCGGAGCAGGCTTTCAGACCTTGAGAGACTTGAGATAAAAGAAACGATGTCGTTTCCGGTGGCACAGCGTCCTTTAGGATAAAGCAAAAAAATGATTGTCCGTACTATCCAAGAAATACGTCAAATTTCAACAATCTGGGTATTTAGTATATTTAGTAATGTCAAATAGTTGAGAAGTGGGTAAAGGTTGATAGAGCAAGCAGATTTAGAGTTATATTATGTTACAAAATAGAGAGAACAAAAACAAAGATAAAATATATACCATAATTATAGAACAGTATTATTATAGGCAGGGATGTAAATTGTAAAGTAGCAAATAAAAAACGATCAATAAGTTAGGGTTAGTTAATTTAGGGCAATTTCATCAAATAGCACCAAAGGATTATAGCTAACTAGTTTGATAGCAAATTAGTACAAGTCAAACCTAACTTCATCTACTCAGTAAAAGTAGATTCGTTGATCAGACTTTTCAATTATGTCTGATTAATCGAGTGCTCCATATTTGATCAAATTTTTCAATCATGTCTGATTAGTCAAGAGCTTCACAGTATTGGTCCATAGACCAATTGAGCTAGCTATAACTCTATCAAAGCCTTGGAACATAGATTTAAGCCTTATAGCCGGAAACATTCAGCATTTCTCCCCTGCCACTTGAAATAAACAAAAGCAACAGAGAATAGATTCTCTATTTACTATCAAGAGCTCAAAAGAATCATCTCTCCGGTGCTGCGCTATCCATAAAAGTTCTTTGCTACTAGACAAGCTAGAATCCAAATTTTGACGGACAAGTTTACTGAACTTAGGCAGAAAATCTAGAATTTCTTCTCTTCAGAACTTAAGGAGGTCAACAAATATTCAAGAACGACTTCAGCCAATGCATAGAGATTATATTCTAAGATTTAATAACTGAAATGGTGAGTTTTTAAAATACAAAATTTCAGTAAGAAAGAATAGAAGTTTGAAGAAAAATCAGTTTGAGCAAGCCAACTCAAGTGCAGGTGCACATTCATCATTGATAAGATCACTAGACATAGCATAAGGTATTCTATGGCGTTTTAGTATACGGGAAGTGGCTACTTTTGCCAAATCGTAGTTCAAAACAATCACCCTCTCATCATCCAGATCGAACCTTATTCTCTCTTTGCTATTATCCTCCACAAGCTTGCGTAAGTGTTTCAAATTCTCAACTTCAACACCATTAACCTTATTGACCTGCATTGCATACCAAATAGTTTCAACTATTTTGAAGCAAAAAAAAAAAAAAAAACGCAGTGACCAGAAACCTGGGCTGTGAATGGGATAAAGATTAAATGCAAAAGAACAATGACTACTGTATCAGATGCCTACACTCAGAAACAATGCAAAAAACAAGAGAAAGAAAAGAGGAATAAGGGTTGGGGGAGAGACTATATTACCTGCAATTCTGCAAGACGCTCATACCCAGTATTAATATCATCTAACAAGACCTACATTAAGTCAATTAGTCATGTTAAACAGAGAATAAAGCTACCACAGGAAGTATAAGGTTAGAAAGGAGTGAAAGCTAAAAATACCTGAGAAAGAATAACAAGTTGTTCTCCAGGTTTTGTTGGAAGTTTCCTGAGTGCTCTTTCACACAACCGCCGAGGTGAGGTATTGTACCAGTCTTCTCCATACTCATGAAGGTATGGTTGAGTTAAAGGAATGAAGACAAGACCAGCAAAAATGAAAAAACTGGGAAGCTTATCAAATTGATGAACCGGAACAAGGGGTTTCAGCTGCATAAATATTAACAGTAGTTACAGCAAACTCTTCATTCAATACTTCCAGCAATGTTGATATAACGCAACTATGCAAGGCTTAAAAAGGTACAGTATTACTAAATATTACACCTGTAGTGTATTCACTATTTAGCATTATTGTGTTTGAAGCCTAAACCAAGTGTTATTGGTTACACCAAAATATTTCATGTGTTGGTGGTTTAAAGTTATTGTGATTTTCCATTAACTTCTAAAGATCACAATTGTTTTTAATCCTATGTTCTCCCTTTTGTCCACCATTAAGGGCATTTAGAGATTAATATTATTATTTTTTGTTTTTGCTCCATATTAGTACATCTAGTTGCAATAGGTTTTTTTCAAATGTTATAACACACCAGAACTTGAACAAAAAAGTGTCCAAGGAGATATTGTCAATTTGCAATCTCAGAGCCAATACTAATGGTTGAGACATGCTATCCAATCACATTAAACCATACTTCCACAGACACTTTGCTGGTTAAAAAGCACAGTATTTTAAAATATAGCCTGCAAAAAGCAAATAATCAGAATGAACAACTTACTGGAAAAAGTTTGATGCTAAACTCATGCTTCTCACCATTTCTCAGTACTTTGAGTACTGCAGTTTCATTAGGTTTCTTCATAGAAACCAAGTGATCAAATGTTATTCGCTCTCTGTTTCGAAAATGAACTGTAAAGCACAGACAATCAGTAGTACTCAGACAACCAAAAAATATTGGAACAAATGCAAGAGTAATAAATCTCAATATTTCTGAACTTATATAGTTATGCACATATTTAAGCAGAGCATCAGGTCAATACTGCAATCTTCAAAAATTCCTGTTATCCATGACCCTGAGGGAACATGTATGTTATGTAATTATTTGTCACTCAATTGCAGAAAAGAACCTCAAAATTAAATGAGCCCAAAAAACATACACATTTAAATACATTCAATTTAGATAGATTGCTGATTCAAAGGCAGTGCAGGCATTCCCCCAGAACTCATCTCTTTCATTTCACATGGCTATGCCATTGATGAGTACCAATAGGGCCAAACTTCAATGTTTTCTTAAATACATAATTTTTTCAAAGTAAAAGAGGAAATGCAAAATATGAAGTGCCCAAAAAGCTTACCTGTTCCGTCATTGGCTATAGGTATGCCATCAAATGAGAGAATGATATCATCTTTTCTCAACACCTTATAAGCATCAGAAAGTGGGTTGATTTTGCTCACAAGCACCCCAGTCAACTCTGGACCCATTTGAAAGTATTCGCGAAGCTGCAAATTTTCTGTAGGTTGGCATGACAAGCCCATAGAGCAAAACCCAACATAACTTCCATTCTCTTCTACTCCAGATATAAAATGTCTTATTACAGGGACAGGAATTATGTAACTGAAAGATCCAAGGAACAAAAACAAAAACAAAAAAAAACAAAAAAAAAATTGTAAAAAACAGACAAACAAGCCCATCAAACTCTTAAGTGACTTTAACTATAATTGAGAACTCAAAATCAATGTGATTACTGTGCATAAAGTTGCAGCTATAAGAAATGTAAACTATCAATTTGCCAAGTTCATCAGTTTTGTGCTAAAGTTAGCATTTTGGAGAAGAAAATAACCGAGAATAGAAAGAAATAGGATAAAAGGCACTGGTTTTAATTAATATTCTACTAAAATAAAGGAATTTAGTTCATAATAGGACTTATTCAAAATGACAATTAAGATTTAAGAAATAAAGATACAAATAACATATAATGAATACTAATTCTATTTTTCATACAAATGGCATGATCTTTAAATAAAATAGACGATACATTTGTTTGTAGTTATTAAAAAAAAAAAAAAAAAAGTTGTCCAGGTTGTTATTTGTGCATCGGTATCTTATTAAGCCTCCAAAAAGACATGATGTAAATTAAAGAGAGTTCTCACAAATTCAATTTAATAAAAATGGAACTAAGTCTCAAGTTATACCCAATATTCTCTGCACCAGAGAGGTTCTGGAAAGCAACCCCAGCAACTTTGTTGCCCATGATTGCTGGCCCTCCACTATTTCCAGGATTTATAGCTGCATCAATTTGTATTGCCAAGAGTTGACTTGCACCATGTACATATTGTGTAGGTTCAACCCTTGAGACAACACCTTTTGTGACAGATATGTTGTCTCCCCCTACAACCAAGCAAAATTTAATTGAAATAGTTGTTTAGAAAGATCATACTTGTTCAAAATGCCTAGCCTGAGTACTAAACTTACAAAAAGGCAGTGAATTTCATTAATCACACAAAGTTATAATCCAAGGTAAGAGGCTGACTGTTGGACCACTGGGGTGGAGGGTGGGGTACCCAAACAAAGTTCATAAAACTGAAAAACTTCCATTTTACCTTTAATCGATTGAAATAGAATGATATTACCTTGAGGATAACCAACTACAGCAACACCTTCTTGAAGAAATGGAATGTCTCCAAGCTCTAAAGAGTTTGTACCCTCCCAGAACTCTTCATTCTGAACCACTAGAATAGCCAAGTCACATTCATGGCCAACTGCCTGGACTTCAGCTTTATACTTGGTTGGAGAGCCATGCTTTCTTACTAGTACAAAGGTATGATCGGCCACAACGTGAGCATTTGTCAGGATCCTCCTTCCAGGAATAACAAAGCCTAAGGGAATAACACAAGTGTAAGACTTCAGAAGATCTTCACATCAGAAAACTATAACCAAGTGAACTTTCAAAATCAAAAAGAAAAAATGACAATATAAAACTTGATTTGCATATGACATTTATGTTAGTCATGCAATACAAACATATGATAATTCTACAGTCCTACACATGAAAACATTTTACTTTGAACACAGACAACATAATATGGATATAACAGAGAACCAAAAAACAAAAAAGGAAATAGCATCTGTTGAGCATAACTAGTAAGATTTAGTTAGATTTCAGAGAAATTTAGTACAATTTCTACTAGCATATTCAAGCATGATCCTCAACGGCTATGGGCTATGGCATTCATGTCATCTAGCTAATTAGCTTATCTCATTTCCTTCAAAAATCATCCTACAACATAGCAGGGCAAAATGTTCATGGAGAAGCAATCTCACAAGTGTGTGAGCACAGGTCATCCCCAATTCTGAAGAGAATATGAAATGCAGCCTACGTTGGAACAAATAACTGCCTCAAAGCGACTCTTCTTAAATAACAAAAGAAGATTTTATTGGTAGATAGAGGGGAGAGGATCACATCACGGCTCGTTGGCAACCTCTAGGCTCTAGTCAAAGGATAAATACAGGTGATAGACTTTGGCAGACTAGTGAGAAGTATTAATCACATTTCAACCTCATATTAATGATTACCGCTTGGATCTGACAAGGTTGAAAGCTAATTCAGCAAAACTTATCAGCTTTAAATATATGAGCTTGGGATTAAATTTCCAACTCTAAATGCTACTTGGGGAATATTCAAAAAGAAACAAACTGGAGTCTAATTCCAATTTTCTATATGCTTCCTCCTGGTTCACGCTTACTAAGATCAATAAACCAGTACTCCATCTACCTGCTGTATCAAGAAACTGATGTTTCTTTGTTTGCATTAATGGTGATTAAAACCTGAGGTCCCCTCTGCTTTTTTGGCAGTTCTAACAAATTGCTTTGGGTCAAATGGGGGATAAGGAGCTTTTCCATTACAAAATTATACAGCATTCCAAGTTCAGCTATGCCATAGTTAACTTCAAGTGTAACATTCAAATTGCAAGCACCTCAACAGGAAACAATTAAAGGAAAAATACTTTGATTGAAAGCCGATTTGAAAAGCTGAAATTTTGAGGGGGAAAAGTGAGGAAAAGATTGCATCCTAATTACTTTATATTATAGCTAAACATATAAAGATGCTATTTGCTTAAACATAACATGTTTACTCATAGGCTTCAAATGCATACAGATAAGTCTCGATGCATATGTATGTCTAGTCTAGGACCTCTAGGTGTATTAAGTTTAAAAATGGAGCGGGAAAAGACATTAAAAAATTCAAACCAGAGCCGGTAGATTCGCGCTGGGATTTATTCTGCCAAGGTAGGAAGTAGCTAGGACTGCTGGAAACGGTGAAAATCTTAACCACAGAATCCAATGCGAGCTCAATCGCGTAATAAGCATCCGAAATGCTGCTTGTTGTGGAAAGAGACTCCGCCGGCGATTCCGAATTAATTAGTTGAACACCATCCGCGGCGGCGCCGCAGTTATTGTCATCCAATCCATTTTCCGCGCTTGTGCTCGCAGTGGAAAATAATACGGAGGAACTGTATTTGAACCCGTCTGCTGAACAAGGGCGAAATGAATGGTAATAGAAGTTGTCACTGTCACAGCGTGCGGGGACTTTGCTAGCGGAGGCTACCCGATCGGCGGAAAGTGGGTTGCGGCGGCGAAAGTAGCCAGCTGAGAGTCTTCGTGCCACACGAAGGGCCGATCGTGTTCCCAGCATCGCTTTTCTGAAGCTACCTCTTGAAGCTTGCGCTTTGGACTGGCTGCTTTTGAGCTACCGCTAGTATGCCGCCATTTTTTCCAAACATGTGGAAGCAGTATTATACTGTGATTCGTAGGGTGCGCCCTGAACGGGCCAACTAACGGACCTGGATAGCCAAACGGGTTGTCGAAATGGATCTTTATCGGTTCGGATCGACTTACTATTCGGTCCCCTTGTCACCCTGTGCACTTACAAACTACGGAGTATTGGGAGCAATAAATTAAGAATAATGTTACATATCAATGATTTTATGGTCTAGTGAAATGAAAATAGTCAATATTAGTTGTTTGACTTGGTCAAATAGTTAATATAAGTGTTTGATTAATTAATTTTTTTAGCATATTGATGCAGTAAATTTGTTCGGGTATAAGTATTCATATATTATTGAGTAGTGTGGATTTGAAAATAGTGGCTCGGGTTATCGTGATCGAAGGTTGGAGGTTCCTGAGCTTATAATTATTCTAGAGAGATAGCCAAAAGCTAGTCCACATCTACAAACATCTAGCGGGGTATTTATATGATAAAGGAAGGGACACATATCGGGAGGTGGACATGTATGCCATGTTGCAAAAAACGTTAGGCGCCGATTTTTTGTTTTTTTTTATTTTTATTTCTTTTATTAAAAATAAAATTAAAATTTTAAAATTTTTAAAATTTAGTAATAAAACATAAGGTTTCCGTAGTTATTTCTTACAAACTATTTACGTAAGTGGTTGTAAAAGAGTTCAAAAGATTGTTTAAACCATCTAAATACATAAAAAAAAATAATAATAAGAGCAAAATAAGCATTTTTTGAGAAATTAGTGGACCAAACCGCATGCGGTGGATAGATCTCGAAAAAATACGCGATTTGAAAAAAAAATTTTGTCCAAAACGGACAACTGAGTCAAAAGTTATACCTTCTCAAACTTTTCCCACTTTACAACGCAAAAATTAAAAAAATAAAAATTTAAATTCAACGCCGGTTTAGCCGGCTAGACGGTCTAGGCGCGATTTTTGCAACCATGACGCGCACGTGTCCCCATGCACAAAGAATTGGATAGCCACCAAATTAGCCAATAGGAGTATATTAGATTAGCCAATAGTCACCAAGCTTGGTTGCCAATGTGTCCTTTTAAGGGCTTATATAGTGGACTCGGGGCTCTAGCCGATCAACCAGATAGGGTTCGAGCATAATGGGTTTAGAGATAGGTCCGTTAAGTCAACTGGCTGCTTAACTCATATGTCGGATTGGTCAGATGTTTTTCTCATGTCGAGTCGGGTCGGAAGCAGGCCCCCACAACCTGTATAGCCGGGTCTGATCAAGTGTTATGTAGGTACAAATAAGTATGACAGGGTATATTCCTCATCACAAATTATTCCTCTGAAACGTTAAACTTCAAAAAGCTGGTCAAACTCTCAATGCAACTTTTTGAAAAAATACATTATTTTTACAAAACACTCCCCGATACTTTATTCTTTTTAAGCAACGAGACTATGTAGACGAGTTCAACAGTCTCGCTACTCTCATTGTCTCTTCACGGTACTACACAACAGGATGCTTGAACCCATCGACGGGGCTCATAAGCTCGTTGCCTAGTGCTGTGAATGTAATTAGCAACGGGACATGTGATTACTGATTAGTGTTCACGGGCTTCCTATAAACATATGTTTATTTATTTTTATATAAATCATGTAATAATAATAATAATAATATTATTATTATTATTATTATAGGTTACAATAACATAATACATTAATGTCTTTAAATGTCTATTTAGATGTAATCATTTATAAGTTAATTTATCAAAGACATTTTTACAAACCGTTAATGTCATCAGGCTATTAGCTAGTTAAAATTGCTTACCCAATCCGCTAACAGTTAGCAATTATGTCAATCCGTAATTAACTTTATTTTATTTTTAATACCCAAATACAAAAATAAAATTTAAAAATTGAAAATAATTTTTGCAAGTTTCAAAAGAAACATAAAAATATAAAAGAGTAGCAATTTTTTTCATTAAAAACTCGATGGGAAATCATGCCACGTGGCAAGACCGAACGGCTCGGAGGTACCAACCCGCCATGCTCCGCGGGCATAATACGGAGTCGAATTCATCAGAGAAATCCGGGTTTAAGTATTCAACCGTATCATATTTTCCAGTTATCTGTACCAGAAAAGCCTTCACAGTTCCTCCAAAAGCCCAGAACCCTTCTCCCCCTTCATCTGTTTACATTCGTAGATGGCGGCGGCTGCGAGGAACGCACTGCTAAAGTACTTGAGAGTAGAAGCAGTGGCACTGCGAAACCCTAATCGAATCCCTAACTGTGGCGGCTCATTGACTCAGCTGCTGAGACAGAAGCGCCATTTCTCGGAGGAAGTGAGAGGCTCCTTCCTCGACAAGTCGGAAGTCACCGATCGCGTCTGCAACATCGTCAAAAACTTCCAGAAAGTGGATCCTGCCAAGGTATCCCTCTACGCGTTCCCGCATTCTCTTTTTGTCCATTTAATTTATGGAGAGAATATAATTTGGGATTTCGGATTGTTGACATGGTAATTTGATGCAAACACGAATCTAATCTATGAGTTATCATTACTAGTGGTGCCGTGTTTATTACTAGTATATGCTTCTGTCAATGTATTCCGCGTACTAGAAGTCTAGAATTGATCTTCAGTTTTGAAAGCAAGGAGAGAAAATAAAATCCAAGTTTTATTTTATTGTCTTATTTTTATGATGAGCAATGCAAGGATTATCTCAGCAGAAAAGAATGTTCAGTTTTATACTTTAACTAAATAAAAGGATGCTTTCAAGGATTTTTTTCTTCTTTGTTTTATCTGAGCTGGAATGCGATGAAGTATGAAATGTGTTATATATCCAACTTGATTGAAGGCTAGGTAGTTATCTGAGCTTGAATGCGTAGGTATGAAATGTGCTGTATATCCAACTTGATTGAAGGCTAAGTAGTTATCTGAGCTTGAATGCGTTTAAGTATGAAATATGTTGTATATCCAACTTGATTAAAGGCGGGCAGCTGGCTTTTAAGGTGATTTTTGAGGTGATTGTTGTGATAACTGTTAAATTGCTTATTATGTGAAAAAGATAAATTTTCTGGTTTGATTCTCTGCAATGTCCAAAAAAACTTGTGAAATGGACACGTTAATATATTTTTGAAGAGGATTAATCTTACCCCTTTCCTTTTGCCTCATTCCAAAGTGGGGTAAATTGGTGGCTCTATAAGAGTAGAAGAGCCTTCGGTGATCCTAGCTTGGCAGTTTCGTACTGATACTCGAAATTGATCACACAACCTTGAAGGTTGTCTTTGCAACTAATAACAATATAAAACTTCTGAAATAACCAATAAATTACATTCTGATTTGTTGTTGTTGTTGTTAATATGAATCCTCTTCTAATATGGATCTTGAATTCTGTATTCTTAAGGCTCGTTTGGAAACATGGGGCATCATGGGATGGGGTAAAATTATTGCAAGCACCTCTTATCTTGCTCACATAGGAGAATATCATTACAGCAAGATGGTAGGAAATGGGATTATAATATATCTCCCATATCCATCCTTGGAAGTTGGAAATCAAATACGGCATATGCATTTTGTTAAAACAAAATTAACGAAATAGGGATACAAAATAATTTTTAAAAATAATTAGGTAGAGGAAACAAAATAGAAGTCCCAATCTATGCCAGACTGCTCAAGTTTGCATTTTAGTGTGAATGCCAACAAGAACAGGGTGAAAGTTCTATGATTTTAAAATCAACCTTTTCATTTTCCATGTAACTGTTTACTAGCTTTTGGTGGGATTTATCTCAATTTCCCTTCCAGTATTCTGCATGACATTATTTCAACTTGCTGGGTCAGATTCAACTTTTTCTTTCCATACTTTCATCCTTTTCACTTGTGTATTCAAAAATTCCAAGTGCTTTTCCATGGGGATTTATTTATGTCTCTAATTTCCCCTGCAGGTTACCCCAAATGCTAATTTCCAAAGTGATCTCGGTTTAGATAGCCTGGACGCCGTGGAAATTGTTATGGCCCTGGAAGAAGAGTTTGGATTTGAGATTCCTGACAATGAAGCAGACAAGATCAACTCAATCAATCTTGCTGTGGACTTTATTGCATCCCACCCTCAGGCAAAATAAGGGAATGTCGAGTTGCTAGAGGAACCTATTTATTCCTATTCTAGTTGAAAACTTTAATTGCTTGTTGGTCTTGTTGGAGCATGTTTGAACTACACTGCATTTACAGAGGCTATTCCACATTCACATAATTCCAGTCATGGAAACTCTGCCTTTTTTAAGGATACCAGATAACCAGTTTCACTTCATTGATCCTTGGATATCTGCCAGATTTTTGGTGTTATGTTGAAATAAACTGATGGCTGTATTGCACTTCACACATTTAAATTTTTTTATTACATTGAATGTGGAACAGAAGCGTTCTCTTCCAGGTTTAACACTCTTCCTGGTTCGTTTTACTTGTTTTTGTAAACCAGTGTTGTGAACATGATCCTATCAATGAGGCATGTAAGATGTCATTAAAGTTATTAATCTAAAACCGAATAAATGCATATTTATTTAAAGTACACAAATGTTTAATTCTTCTCATACTCTCATAGTACAATATATATATATATATATATATATATATATATATATATATATATATATATATATATATATTTTTTTTTTTTTTTTTTTGGGGGTCAAATGTCACTTTACGACAGTGATGAGAAACACAAACTGTACAGCGTACCGAGAGCAAAATAGAACGATTGATTTCCTTGTTATGCTCCTACATGAGCATTATGGATAATGCACAAGGATCAACCATGCATAATTATATATGTTTGCTTAGGACACTTCATGACCTATCAAAAAAAATTGTTTTACAATTAGTGTGGGTAAGATAGCGAGTCTCTCATTTCTCCCAATTTAATCAAAAGTCTCATAGTTCGTCTTTGTAGTTTCTTCCAATTTAATCAAAAAATCTCATGATCCGTCTTTGAAAGAGGTGGATAAGTGAGTGGATCATAATATTTTCTAATATTAATAATATTTTTATAATTTTATTATTTAGTATGAAAATTCTCGTACTTAAATATCACAAGTTTAATTATA